ATACGTTTTCTCCTTAGAAACATCGAACAATAGCTATCATTGTTAATAATTCTAAGAATACTACCTCTATTTCATAATAGCCATAAATCCTGTATTTGGGCTTCAATCACGCTAACTAAAGTTTTCAGATTTTCAAAAGACGTCCTCTTCACTGTCAATTACACACAACTAGTTGTCGCTAAGTAGTCTCGTAACTTCCCAAGCCATGACGTATAATGGCGGCATCTAGAGGTAGATGAATTGGGGAGGTGGGAGGGAGTAATTCGTATGTAATAGAGGCAGTATTCTTAGGATTATTAACAATGATAACTATTGTTCGATAATTCTTACGTAACTTCTACCTCTATTACATATCTGCGAGAATATACTAGAGGGACCTTGGTGGAATCTGCCTCTAGTGACTCCCTGTGTAATTGACAGCAATCCTCTTCTGGAAACCAAAATGTACTGATTCTTATCCTACTGAGATAATGTCCTCTGAAATTCCCCTTGAGGACTTGAAAATCAGAAACTATGTCAATAATCAGTCAAATATGTGATATTATCACTAGATTTACCGTTATATTTGCTGATTTTGACCATAATATACCTGGATTAGTGACTTTTAACACCGGCGTTTACGTCACTTCCGGTTTGTCACTTCCTCTTTTTGGTAATGACGTCTCTTTAGGTTTATTTCTACCATAAAGACGTCATTTCCTGGTTAGAAGGGCTTTGTTCGGCTATTTTCGGTGCTCACGTCACTTCCGGTTCCCCTAACACTTCCGGTAATGACGGCACTTCCGGTTAATGGCGATAGATGACATTTCAGGTGCTTCTAATCCATCCTACACCTAATAAGCAGAGTTATCAAGGGTGAACATACCCTCTGATGCAGAAGGAAGGGCTGATCTGTAACCTTCTATCGTCCAGCTGAATATCTGTGGATGTAATGTCCATTCTGTTGCCACTATTCTCCCCCAACATGAGAGGCTATCAGCCCGTATGTTCAGTTTCCCGGGTATATGTCTCGCTTCCATCCAGCAGTTGAAGGAGTCTGCCAAGGCAAACAATCGTGTAGCTTACGTCACCAGGGAGTTGGATCTGGTTCCCCATTGCTTCTGTATATATGCCACTACTGAGGTGTTGTCTGTGGCTATGAGAACTGATGATAGATGAAGTTGTGTTCTACATTCGAGGATGCGTAATATATGGTCATCATTTCCCTGCAGTTGATATGAAGGTTTTCCTCCTCTGTGTTCCACGATCCCCGTACTGTAAGATCGTCCATATGAGCGTCTGTGAATAGATGATGTTTTGGCGTCGGATAAGTCAGAGGGATGCCACTCATCACATGTTCTCTGTGATTCAACCAATGGAGGTCTTGATGCAAAGTGGGAGGTAACTGAGACTGGAACTCTAGGCCCTTCGATCATATAGAGTTTACCCATGTCTGTAGAGGACGTAGCCTCAGCCTTTCTCTGAAGGCCATATCCTGTAGAGATGTCAAGTTGCATAGCAGAGAAATCCACTACCTCAGCGACTTGCTGGGTTGAGTTGAGATGGATTGGATTAATTTATAGTCTTGTCGAATCGATCCTTTGGTGGACATAGATATCCCCTGTCTACCTGGAATCTTGCTCTGATGTATATAATGACTAGGAAACCTAGTTAGGTCATAAGTTGGACCAAGAATATCATGTTCTGCTGTAGCTGATTTTTCCCTTGGTCTGCCGCTAAGAAGTCGTCCAGATAAACATGGATTTGAACTAGCTGGAGATGGGCGAACTTGATGACTGGCACTGTAATTCTCATAAATAGCCAAGGTGCTATTACTATCCCGAGTGGTAGGACTTGGAATTTGTAGCGTCGGCCATTGATTGCAAAGCGTAGATATTTCAGAGATGATGGGTGTATCGGGACGTGAAGATATGCATCTGTAAGATTTAGGTTGATGAGTCAGTCTCCATTCTTCAACGTTGACCGCAACTTCCGTATGGATTCCATCTGGAATTTTGGAGGCGGCACCAGATATCTCTTGTTGAGGATCTTTATACCTATTTTCATCCTCATCTCGGTTGTGTTCTTCGGGACTAAAAGTCTTGGGAGTAAAAACCTTTGTAGTTATTTGACTTCTTTAGTTCCCGAATGGCTCACTTCTTTAGTAGTTCCCTGACGGCCAATTCTGCAGCTGTTAACTTGGCACCGGTCAGGTGAACCTTCTACCCTTGCGTCTTGTATAACATCCGTTTCATAGGTGGAAGAGGTAGACGTTGATCATGTCTTGAGTCTATGGATGTTATTCATTGACTGGTCTACGACCTTGCCCGCATACCTGGGCCAAGGTAACGTATGCTGAATATGCTGAGATGGAACAGGTGCATGACACCCCCCGTATTCCGGCATCTGGGGTTGTGAATCCTGTCACATGTGGCCAAAGTGTAGGCATAAGTTGGTAAAGCTCTTCGATAAGTTCCACAAAAGTGTTCGTATTCGCTGTAATCTTGTTGGGGTGAGAGCTCCTCCAAACCCTCTGATTCCGGCTCTAAGTAGCCTTGGGAATCTCCAATAGGGGTAGGATAATCGTATCCCTCAGCTTCTGCCCTAAGGGCTCGTCATCCTCCGGTGACCATGATTCCGGCATGATAGGTCTCTAGGCTTGTAAACCATGGGTAATGGTAGCCATGCCGTGGCTGGCCGGCTGGCTGGGTAATCCCGGATGGCTGGCCCATGGAGCTCATGCGGTTCTCGTACGGTATTGTTCTCTGTGCTAGCTGGCTTAGTGACTGGTCCATGGTTTGGCGATCGGGAGCCACGCCGTGGCCGTGTGGCTCAGTCTGCAGCTCTTGTGTAGCTTGGTCCCCGACCGTGGATGAAGATCTGGTAGTCTTTGGTAGCTACCGTCTCGATCTTTGCATCCATATCGGACAGCTTAGCTCCTAGCATGTCCTTCATCATCTCCTGTTCTCTCAATAGCTGATGATGGGGTCGCTAGAGAGGGTGGCACTGGGGTAGATAGTGATTTATCAGTGGTCATCTTTTCTACTTTCTTCTTGGCCTCTACTTCTTGGCCTTAGTCACGGCCTCTGTTATCTTGGAGAAGATCTCTTCAGATGTATGGATGCATTGATCACATCTCTTCTCCAAGGTGCAGGTCTTCCCTCTGCACTTTATATGAGGATCTCTCGTGATCATAAAACGAGCACACTTCTAACACTCAGGGTGGTGGGAGACTGCATGGCGACCTCAAAAACCCAACACCAGCTATACTCACGTGCGTGGTCTCTTCCAGCAGCACAATTACTATAATTATATTATTTATTTATACGTCTGTTATTACAGCAATCATATTAGAATAATCTTAGGTTAATGTGACCTACTACAAGATGCTTGATTGTCACTACTACTATAGTAGGTGTTGACTCTAGCACACAAAAGAAAAATGTGAGGTTGCCGCCACATCACATATTTGACTGATTATTGACATAGTTTCTGATTTTCAAGTCCTCAGTACATTTTGTCAATAGTACACAGGGAGTTACAAGACGCAGATCTCACCGGGTCCCTCTGGTACATTCTGCCAGATATGTAATAGAGGTAGAAGTTTTGTAAGAATTATCAAACAATAGTAGCATTGTTAATGATTCTCACTACCTCTATTACATACAAATTACTCCCTCCCACCTCCTTAATTAATCTACCTCCAGTAGTAGATGAGAGAAAAAAGTGAGGTTGTCACCATTATGAAGTCATGGCTTTGGTAGTTACGAGACGACTTGTCAACAACTGGTTGTGTGAAATTGACAGTGAAGAGGATGTCTGTTGAAAACTTAAAAATCTGAATTTTTTTAAATACAGGCTTTATGGCAGATCCGTAAGGATTATGCTGTTTGCTAAGAGTTGATGACTGATGAGTGTGGTGTAATGCTGCCTTGAACAATATTTCACTCATATCACTGTGTGTCCACTTCATGGTGGAGGAGAGACCAAATGGTATTAGTATGAAAAACCAAGAATTACAATCAGATTCAAACCCACAAAAAGGGAATTATGGTGCTTTAGATGACCACTACCTCACCACAAAATAGAACACTGGCAACACAGAGAGATCATGATGAAAATAAAACTTTAAGAGAAACACAAGATATACACATTGCTAACTTGAGTACCGGTAGAAAGAATACACATGTGTATACCCATATATCTTGGGTCTCTCTTTCAGTCTTTCAAGGACTTAAACCGACAGGACTGAAGACTTGAATTATCAGTGGCCATTTGAGTGAGGGAGTGAACAAGTTGGGTTTAGGGCTGCTTTGAACAGTATTCCGGTTACTGGGTACAACATCACTGTGTCAGTTTGATGTGAGGAAAGCCTGAAGTAATGCAGGTCTCATATGCTTGACCTTAAAACCCATGTGCCCTGGAATGTGCAAAATCTATAAACAGCTGAGAACTGGGATTCAAACCCACGATCACAGGTTCTGTCATACCCAAGGGGCGCTACTCTGCACAGCGAATTGTGACACCTTAGACAACTGGGCCACATGTTCCCCAGTGGCCACTGAATAATGAGTATGCAGCAGCTATTTCTGATATTGATTTCACTTACTTCTTTGATGGTTTTCTCAGAATTGTTTCAGGCATTAACACAAATATATACATACCTAATCATCCAAGTGAGTGAGTGAATGAGTGAGTTGGGTTTAACGCCGCTTTTAACAGTATTCCAGTTATATCACGGCGTGTCAGCTTAATGTGGGAGGAAAGCCAAAAGTGATGCAGGTCTCAGACATTTACCAATTCGGTGAAACCCACGAGCACGGGTATGGTGCTGACAAACCTAGAAACATAATCGGGGCGAACCGGGATTCGAACCCACAATCATAAGTTTCTGGCGTGTCCAGGGGACGCAACTCTGCACAGCGAATCGCGGCGCCTTAGACAACTGGGCCACCCGTGCCCCCCTAATCATCCAATGATTTATGGTTAGGCAAGTATTTAACAAAGACAAACACACAGACTCATGGCATAAAAGGTTTAATGGAATAGTAATAATTTACACAGTAAGTAAGAATATTAACAGCTTCGTGTAAAACAGGTCACACCTTCTCCACACTGATGAAGATCTCTAAGCCTACACACCAAACAATACACCTGTACCTTGAACTGGTGGAAAATGTCATATACCATGAATGTCTTCAACTTAGTTTACTCCAGAACCAAATTCATATTCAGATTATATTCATGTGACAAAACTTCAAATCATATCTGTAACTTTGAATGGCAGCTACAGTATACAAAAGAACTTTTGTCCTTTAAGGTCAACTGATAATCTTTGTTGCCTGCTGTGATGTTGAGATGTGAGAGTCAAGAGGTGGAGACTGACCAATACGGCTAGCACCACAAAATCAGATACACTCGCACACACACTGATAAAGTTGTAAAGCATTCCAATCTCGTTAAGATCAGATCTTTTACTCCGAAATGTTACCACCATACACTTAGAAATAAAAGGGTGCATAAAATCTCCAACATAATGTATTCTACATTATATTTTACATTTGGAACCAGTGTCCAAAACAACTGCCTGCTGGCTATCCTGTGGCTTACAACATTTCTGTCGGAAATAGGTAAATTTATCAGTAATCCTACCTGCCAGGCTGTAGAAAATTTGACAAAAAACCTTAGCACTGATTACTGTTTTTAACTTGACAGTGAAGTTGTCCTGCAACCCACACATTTAGGATCGATGGCATGCATCAAACAAGTCAGCAAGCTTGACCACCCGATCCTGTTAGTCGCCTCTTACGACAAGCACAGTCGCTCATAATGGAGTAAACGATCTTATTTTAATGAGATTGCAAAGCATGCTGGGATGACAGCCACACCCTACAGCTGCTACACACGATCACAAAGACTTCTTGATATGTGGTTCTTGCTTCAGACATTACCTCATGGTTGTGAGGCATATTCAAAGTAAGGTCTTAAATTGTCTATAACACATTTTAGAATATCTTGACAAAGATGTATTTTACCACAAACATGAAGTTCATTTTAAATTCAAATTCAAGTCATCCTGCATCAAACAAAAGTGGGTAAGAGGAGAGGGAAATAAAATTAAAAAATCAAACATAATCCTACAACCTAGAAATAGAATTTAACCTGTGAAGCGAGATGAGATATTTTTTAACGTTAAGGTTATTGCACTTATAAGCTTACTAGCCCCAATAGTGATATATATAATCACATCTAAAGTGTTCAAAATTCATGTCCTTCAGATACCTTTAACATTGGTGAAACTGGCTTGGGCTAGTGCTTCTGTTTCTATAAATGAGCATCTTGATGCTGTGATATTTTCAACTAGATTGAGAATAGTGTACTGTATCCATCACAAGACCATCAGACTGTAGAAAACATCCACTGCATTTCATGCATACTCAAATGTTAACACTAGACATTGTTACTGGCTTCATTGGGGACTAAAACTAAAAGTAAAACATTGCTGACAAGGTAAAAATAACATTGCATCAGTACAATCTACACAAAAGCAGTCTAAAATAAGCATCCCATTACTTGGATCAAATGTCATAAGGCTTAATAAATTAGTTTCAAAATAATTCATATTACTTCTTATCACTAATCATAAATATTGAGCACAACCATATGAATATGCCCATCAACAATACTGAACATATCAGTACAAACATATTTACTTGTAAATATTCCAATTTTAATTGCATACATAGGCCTAAACTTCACTTACAGTATTGATTTCTTACATGTCACCGCACGACATAATCTTGCTGAAACTTGGGTTTCCAATACTCATGATTAAGTGTGGTTGTAGTTCATGGCAGGACAATGATAATATATATTAAACTCTGTGGTGACAGACAGACAAACAAAACAAATAGTGCAAGTAAAACTGGCATAACAGGAACTAGTATAACATTGACTAGTGTTACATTAACTAGTTTTATGTTCTCTAGTATAACATCACATAGCAAACATAAACTAGTTTATATGGCAACATCAACAAGTGAGTGGGCTCAATACTAGTGCTGCAACAACAGCAGCGGCAGGAACTACAGTGCACTACAGCACTACACAATACCACAGCAGCTTCCCCTTCAGAATAATGGACTCATACTAGCCATAATCATGTCTAGTTTATATCTTGTTTACCTTAAATGCCACACTTAGCAATATTCCAGCTGTATGATGGTGACCAGTAAATAATTGTGTCTGAACCAGACAATCTCGTGATTGGTATTATGAGCAATTATCCATGCTATCGGGGTACGGTGGCACACAATGAACCAGGTCACCGAGCCTGACCTAAATCATCTCTTACAACCAGCATAGGTTGCTGGAGACCTATGGAGACATGCTAACCTTTCACAAAAGTGAGTGAGTTTGTTTTAACTCCGCTTATACCAGTATTTCAGTTATATCACAGAATGGACAACCTGGACAAATGATCAGGATAAATCATCTTTCACCAAAAGTGATGACATCTGAAGTTGGCCATGGTTACTGTGGTTACCCATGAAGGCAACAGTTGATGGTTGAAACTATATCAAGATAAGATCAATTACAGAAACAAGCACTTGTTGAGACCATTATTCTTGTTGGGGTAATACATCAAAGAAGGTGCTGTGCAGAAAAGAAAGAATGATTGCACTGCAAATGCAATCTAGATGGATATTCAGATACAAAAATAGACATTCAAGGAGCAATGCTTGTGTAGTGTTGAACAGCCTGTGGTAGTAGATTGCTAGTATTGCTAAAACAAGAGACCTTGCGTAGAGAATTGCATCATGGCAACAGGAACCATGGTAACAGTGGACAAACAAAAACATCCATTTCACATATTACACTAAAATATAAATATCATACCACCATGAGTATCCAGTATGGTTTTCAACAACACTGTGTCGGGTTGTAACTTTCATATATTTCATACCAGCAAACAATTGGGATCAAACCATTTCATATTCGAGGGGGAGGAGGAGAATTTCTGTTAGCATTGGTTACAGACAGTAAATTTCAATATTTCAATGACTGCTTCAAATGAAATTTCCAAAACACATATTTTTCAGGACCTCCAGCATGTCGAACAAACAAATAACGTTTTTGATAATTTTCTGGAGCAAATTATTTGTAAAACAAAATCCCCCGGATATCAAATGGTTGGTCCCTTAACAGAAAATCCCATCTTGCTGTAGTACTGCCCATTTCCTGACAAACAATGCACAATAGGTGGGGATCCTTGTTGATAATCTCAGCAGTATAAAGACACACATCATCAAAATAGCATAAAGAATAGAAACAAATCCACCTTACATTTCTGCACAAGGCAAACATACAATCTGTGTGACCTGAATGTTTGAATATTGCTCCTTCTGATGATGATAATGCTCTAGAGGAATAAACAACATGTGACTACTGTGTTGTTGAAGTGTTCTCATTGCTAGTGCTTTCACCAGACTTAAGTCAGTCTATTGTTCAGGTTTCCCAATATAGTTATAGTTAAGTGTGCTGTTTCAATATTTATCTACTTTTTTAGATTTTAGTTAGAATTTGTATGTAATAATGAGTATTTCCTGTACAGGTGATTCACATAGAAATACTTTGTGTCTTTCAAATAATGGTGTCTTCAGTGCTGGGTGATGATATCAAAATACTAATAATACTTTTGAAAATAGTTCTTAACATTTGAAAGATATTTCTATTCAAATGTTAGACAATAATGCTCCTTAACACATTGCATGCAGATTCAAGTGAATTTCTGTGTCAAGTATTTGCCATTTGGTTTTTTCTAAGGTCTGCACAAATGCATAGCATGTGTAAAATAGTTGGACACACTTACGCCTGGAATGAGCAGCTTGCAGAGTCCCAAGCTGCTGTAGTTCACACACAGGACCAATAGCAATCACAGTACAAACCATGGCCAAGCAACAAGCCTTACACTAGAACTGGGATGAGGCCTGTACATTGTTGAATGTCAGCTCACACTTTTTCCAAGAAGGAAAACACTCATTTTTTGCCTTTTCATCATGAGTTGAGTTGTAAAGGTTGCTATACTGTTGTCAAATTAATGTTTGTTTTTGCAACTTGTCTGGATGCTGAGCATGTTTTCAAGAATGAACAGTTCTACACTCACCAGGTCCACAAGCAGAGTTAGTCAATTCCAATTATGATAATCCTGCTCAAGTACTTATATATCAATATAAACAATCCGACGTCACAAATATCTTGTCATGCAATCATGAGTTGTTTGTTGGCATCACAGTGTCATAGGTGAAGGTCACATGAGTTTGTGCAATGTGATGACGGCTACCGGAGTTATCAGAGCCACGTCTACAGACAGCATGAAATGTTGACTCCACAGTCTGGCAACAAAATAACAGATATAAGTGAACAAGAACAAAAGATACAAGCAGAAGAGATGCATACATTCAAACTACTTTCAGAATATAATTATTTTATTGCTGATATTGTGATGTTTTCTTTGGCTTAGTTGGTAGAGTCAGACATCATAAACCATTACCATGCTCCGGATCACTGTAACTTTTACAATCGGGGGGAATGTTATAGGCAAGGTGCTTCAAACAGCTGAATCACATCTTGTTCAATAACATTTAAAAGAAACAGACACCTGATTGGTTGAGTACTCACCCTTGCTGGCTTAAGAACTTGAGGCACCCTGAAAACACAATACTTCAGTGAGCATATTGTATTTTTTGCAATGAATGGTAGAAAATGCTACAAACTCTGATTTATCTGTTCTAATTGCCAAAGTTAAAGGTGTCAAATTGTTCTGTGACAGTTACAAAGCATAAATACAAATTTGAAGAATGAATTTTAAACTACAACAAAGACTTTAGTGTAAACTGATATTATATACTTTGTAATCATCTCACATAGGTTGAGCTGATGAAAAATGATTTCACATACACGTTAAGTGAAGCACATGTACACATGGCACATTACTAATGGAGGAACTATGTTAGTAATAGGTCAAGTATCAATCTGGAGTGATCATGGCATGATTATATGAATGGTAATTACCACACTAATCTACATTAGGCAATTAGCAAGAGGGCCAGTAGTTGAGTGCCAGGGAGATCCCTTTGAGGCAGATAACCTGGCACATTATGTCACCAGTATTGCTCCCATGGAGCTTCTGACATAATCACAAACATCATCAGAAAACCTCATCTCAGGAAAGGCACACCATGAGCTTTCAGTGGAAATCATACTCATCTCAATATGACTGAGACTTATCTGATATAGCATTAAATTTTAACCAAATTACGGATATTTTTAATCTCGAACAAAATAAAAATTAAGACAACTTCAAGATTCTTGTTTTCCTTATAGAACGATGGAACTTTCTAAAAAAATTGAAATATTCCACAAGATTATTAGATGCTGAATAATTAGTGGTAAAGTGCCTCCTGGAAGTTTCCAGCTAATTACCCTCTGTTGGTGAGAGTCTTGTTACAAGGTATTAGCCTGATAGGTGCAGATAGATGTATATGAGGCAATAACCAGCTGAAGGATTGCTGGATGAACAGTTGCTGTATCGATGACAGCAGGTGAGCTCACCAAAGCCATATCATTTTACATGTCAGAAGAATGAAAGGTGTAACCAGTGTTCGAAATATAAGGGAGGTCCATGTGGTCTTCATATGGCACTTGAATCTAGGGACGCCTAAATCCTTAAACTTTTAACATCAGGGCTATGACATGGACCCCTGGACATTCATACGTACTTTCGAACACTGTGTAACCATGACAGTGATGCAACAGGGTGGAAGGAACCAAGCCTTCACTACAGTGTACTAGACAAGCATTGGGTTATGATCTACTAGTTCGTGCATCACTCAAGGGTTATATTTAATTCAGGCAAATAAAGCAAAAGAGACAATGGAATCATTGCAGAAAAATATGACAATGTTAGGTTTGTATGAATCTCATAGGAAAAGTATGATTAGTAAGTAACAGCTATGGAAGTCAGAACTTGGGATTCTACTGAAACTGTGCCATGGTTACTATGACAACATGGGTACCATGGCAACTATCTTACATGAATCAGTCCTGGCACTCTGTCTGTACATCGGTTTGCTCCTGAATGAGATACATGGGAAATGTTAGTTTACAAAGCGAGGCAACAAGAAACATTCTATACAGGGGGTGAATGTTGCTCAACACAGCAAGCAGCAATATTACAGCTTTATCACTGCTGTCTGCAAATAATCTAGTGTGGATCAGACAAACCAGTGGTTGATTGCACTAGCAATGTCCCCACAGCTGACATACAATGACACTCAATCAGCCAGGACTTACATTGCAACCATCTGATCCTCATTCTTGTCACTTCTTGCAACAAGTATAGGGTACTAGAGAAATATTCCTTATACAGAACTAACTAAAATGTCTAAAAGATATTATTTCCAAATCTAATATAGAAATGTAACATGTTAAACACAACTATGTGTATTAAGAATGATATTTTCTGGTGGTTACAATGAGATCTGATGAATTATGTTTTATTAACATAATGTAAGTTACGATATGTATGAACAAAGAAATGGAAACATGCATTGAATCAAACAGGTGTTTCATCACAATAGTAGAAGTTCTTGAAAATCTGTGAAACAAATTCTCATATTTCAAAACAGAAAGAACAAACTTCCAACATGTTATTTGGATCACATCAAAAGACAGTTGTGCATACACTGGCAAAAACAAAGCAATACACACTACACAATGCTGTTTTTCTCTGATGCAACCAGGCCAAGCATCACTCTCATTTAGCTTCCATGAAGATCAATGATTAGTCACAAAGGCACATTATTTTATCACTGAAGAGAACATTACCTCAGGGGCAATTTATAGCAATTGTCATTTAGAGAACAAACATATAATGATCTGTTAAGTAGTTGATGTGAAGTTTACATTAACATAACCTCAAAACATTCAGACATGCTTTCTTTAGTTCAAGTCGTTGTAGCAATCTGACAGAGGAACTGAAAATGAAGCCGTAAGATGTCAACATGCTGACAATTCCATCAGCTCTACCTGGGTCTCTGGCATCTTAAGCTGAAACATAACGACTAATGTTAGTGTGTTGGGCACTAAGCAGTATCAGCACAGCACTTAAAATGATCTTATTATTATGAGCTAATAATAACAAGAGACATACACCAGGGTAATACATGCTGTTTATTCCTGTTTTCATAACCAAAATGTTAGTGTGAAATTACATGCATTCATAAAGGTACAGTACCAGACATCTATCTTGTCATCAAAACCACACAAACACAAGCATGACGTCAGAAATGTACAGAAATAATGATGCCGTTTGTATGAGCAGTAAAAGGCACATTAAGCCCTAAAACAAACAATCAAGCAATATTAAATAATTTACATGCTGGCTGCAACATTGACATATTGCCTTGTCACTCATACAGAGTAGTGAATCCAGCATTGCCATTCATGCAATCATTTCACTCACAGTCAAATTGCAACCTTTTCATAAAGTAGTTCTTGCCATCACTTATAAACTCATGCAGTCAAATTGCAACCTCTGCACATTCCAGTATTTAGTCTTGCAATCATTTATTATCTCAACTTAAAACTCTCAAAGTCATATAGCAATGTAAATGCAATCCAGTTGCAACAGTCATGCATTCAAATTTTGATCATCAAAAGCTCTTACAATTCAACAGTATATATACACCAAACAATGAGTTCCAATGAGCATGTAATCGAGACATATCCCAAATACAATGCATTGTTTGTTTGATGTTTTACTATGAAACTATGAACAACCATCCTATACTGTCGAGGTATGATGACATGCAATCAACAAGGTCATAGAGCCTGACCACCTGTTCCAATCTTGTCCGACTTGGAAATAACAATTGAGTGCTGCCAATACAATGCAGCAACAAGCAAGCTAGCAGAAACAATGCAATGCAGTTGCACACTCGCACCATCCAGTTACGGCATTAGAAACCTGCAGGCAACCATCAATGATGATACACTCCAACAACATTCAGGCAACAGTCTACCATGTTATGTCAACAGGAGAGTCTAGTACAAATGTATTGATTAGGTGTGAGAAAGGTGACAGAACTGAATAAAACTGAACAGAAGAAGAAATAGAAACAGAAAAGAAATAAAAGTAAACAGATTTATTGAGGATAACTGAAGCAAGAAATGAAAAAAAGAGATGACAGTCCAGAGATGAGGCTTGACATGCAGAAGAAGAAAGTTGTTAGAACTGCTGTAGGTGTCAGTGGTGTCCTTGAGCCATGCTGTGTCACAGAGATGGCTGACCAAACATGCTGTGTTAGGTTCCACATTGTGCCCATCTTGTGGTCGGGTTAGTAAAACTTGTTTCCATCTATTGGCCAGGTGCATTCGTGATGTCCTCATAGAGTGGCTGGTGAAACAGGTACACATTTCAGAAACACCCTGATTATGTCTTTCTAAAGATCCATTATGCCTTGGAGCAAACTAGAACTAATGGTTTTTCCACTCCACATATACAGGCGATACATAAATTAGAACAGTTCACAACTGTTACAGGTACAAGGTATATTAATGAACTATTACACATTGCTATGTTTATAAGGTAAAATGCAGATTTGATCAGTAACCTGCTGGTACTAACAAGAGGGAGTAGGTGTGAGGTACCTACGAAAACACATTATACACTGGTTAGTTTCAATAATGAAATCTAGGTTATCTCATGCAAACAACTTAATGCTGGATCATTAGTCAACATCCTGGGACATAAGACGCTATCTGCAGCTTGTACCTTGCTTGTCCACGTCAAGTAATCAGGTACAGCATGCCATAAAATATACTTAGTTCAATGTTAGGCTTCACACCATGCCAGCAAACATGAGCTATTAGTTTAATCTTCTTCCTCTACACAGCGAGTCATCCATTGTTAGATCCAAGTCTACACTGTACATGCAGCAGCAGCAGACACTGTCAGTTACCTAGTCCTCCAGTCCCATCATCTGCCTTCTCCTCCTCCTCCTGGCTGCACGGTCGTCCTCTTGACTCTCATCAGTCTCAGTCTCCTTCTCTCTCTCCTCTCGGCGCTTTCTCCGCCTAGCTTCCAGGTCATCTTCCGCAGGCTCTGCTTCAGCAGCATCCTGCTTGGCTCTCTCCTCTCGCCTCTTCCGACGTCTGGCTTCACGGTCATCTTCAACAGGTTCAGCTTCCTCCTTTTTCTCCTCCACTGGTTCTTCTTTTTTTGGTTCTTCCTTCTCCTCAACTTTTGGTGTCTCATCTTCATCATCCTCATAAGCTCTCCTAAACCCTCGTGGCTTCTTCACTTCTTCCTCTTCCGGTTCCTTTGCAGGCTCTTCCTCATTCTTTTCCTCTTCTGGTTCCTTAACAGGCTCCTCTTTCTTTTCTTCAGGTTTTTCTTCTTCGTCACTATCATCAAATGGTCGCCTGAACCTTTTAGGTTTCTTTACTTCATCTTCTTCCTTTGACTCCTCTTTCTTTTCTTCTTTTGGAGGTTCCTCTTTCTTTTCTTCTTTTGGAGGTTCCTCTTTCTCCTCTACTTTAGGTGGCTCCTCTTTCTTTTCTTCCTCCTTCTTATCTTCTTCTGCTGGAGTTTCTTCATCACTGTCATCAAATGGCCTACGGAATCTCTTGGGTTTCTTGGGCTCCTCCTCTTCTTTCTTTTCTTCTATTTTTTCCTCTTCCTTCTTTTCTTCTTCCTTCTTTTCTTCCTCTGCTGGGGTTTCTTCTTCATCACTGTCATCAAATGGCCTACGGAATCTCTTGGGTTTCTTGGGCTCCTCCTCTTCTTTCTTTTCTTCTTCTTTCTTTTCTTCTTCTTTCTTTTCTTCTTCTTTCTTTTCCTCTTCCTTCTTTTCTTCCTCTGCTGGAGTTTCTTCTTCATCACTGTCATCAAACGGCCTACGGAATTTCTTTGGTTTCTTGGGCTCCTCCTCCTCTTTCTTTTCTTCCTCCTTCTTTTCTTCCTCTGCTGGAGTTTCTTCTTCATCACTGTCATCAAACGGCCTGCGGAATTTCTTCAGCTTTTTAGGTTCCTCCTTCTCTTCCTCTTTCTTTTCCTCTTCCTTCTTTTCTTCCTCTGCTGGAGTTTCTTCATCATCACTGTCATCAAACGGCCTACGGAATTTCTTTGGTTTCTTGGGCTCCTCCTCCTCTCTCTTTTCTTCCTCCTTCTTTTCCTCTTCCTTCTTTTCTTCCTCTGCTGGAGTTTCTTCTTCATCACTGTCATCAAACGGCCTGCGGAATTTCTTCAGCTTTTTAGGTTCCTCCTTCTCTTCCTCTTTCTTTTCCTCTTCCTTCTTTTCTTCCTCTGCTGGAGTTTCTTCTTCATCACTGTCATCAAACGGCCTGCGGAATTTCTTCAGCTTTTTAGGTTCCTCCTTCTCTTCCTCCTTCTCTTCCTCCTTCTTTTCTTCTGCTGGAGTTTCCTCTTCATCACTGTCATCAAATGGTCTACGAAATTTCTTAGGTTTCTTTTCTTCTTCCTTTGTTTCTTCTTTCTTCTCTCCATCAGGCTTGTCTTCCTTGTCCTCCTCAGCATCCTTTTCTCCCTTCTCCTTGTCTTCATCCTTCTCCTACAGCAACAATGTACTCACAACAATCAAGTCATATGGTCAACAACATCATTCAACATGTGTTTTCAACTTAGCTCCGTGTTCAGACACCTTTCCTCCACCCCTGACACATGGACATTCTTGACACATTATCAGGGCATACAGATACTGCCATTACAAAAAAATGCAACATGAAGACAAGCATTTTTAATGCATGGTAATACCTTTGTGACTGTGCTTTTGATAACATGGCACCTACATAAACCCCATCAAATCAATGCACAAAGCTCATTCTAATCATGTATAGTTGCTCTCAAGGGAAAAGGTCAACATAACCATGGTAACCAATTATATACCTCATCTTTCTTTGTATCCTTATTATCACCTTCCTCTTCTTCCTAACAAGACAATTGCTTTGGTTTATTTCTTACACTCCAATCTCCACATTGTTCTTTTTTTTTTTTTAATCATACAGACACTATAACATGTATCACAAAAATTATTGTTTTCAAACATAATTATAGTTTACATGTAATAAAATTAACATGAAACTTGAAAATTGAAAAATATCCTTGAAAGTGAAAACACTACTTTAATTTTGTTTTTGTAGATTCCTAGTCATCATATTACCATCATCAACATTACATCTACATTACTACAGAACGCATAGCTTTAGCTAAATACTTTCACAAAATATACAACAAAGTCTCAAGGAAACAAAGTCACACAGCAATCAAACTACCTGATCCTTTTTCTCTACTTCCTCTTCTTCACCCTAGCAATATAATTTACAGATGTAGAACATCAGATTAAACACACGAACTGCACACAGCTGTATGAGACCAAGTTACTGAACTGGGGTTTCACTTTCCCATAATGCTCTCTAACATAAAGTTGGTTGATCATCTTGATGCAAATGTATTTAAATCAAAGATCTATATATGTCTTTGTTTAAATTAACTGCAAAAGAAAAGAAGTAGATTGGTGTTTTTCTAAGAAAGAGTTGTACAGGTACCTCATTTTCTTTCTTCTCTATCTCATCGACCTACCAATATGAGAATAGTATCACATGTTTCTGTTGACTATTTCCAAAATAGAGCTAGAACAAGCACCTGTTTCCATCTATGTGGCAAAGAATATTTTAATGCTACTTGATACCAAGCATTCTTATACTGCATCATGCGTCTGCCTGTAATAAAGTTACATCTTATATAATACAATCTCTTGATGAGAATATCCAGTACACTTATAATTAATATTACCGTATTTACAACTATAGTCTCACTGCATATTACCTTGACATGTTGTCATCACAGAATGACTGACTTAATGATTGTTTGCTTGTTTGCACTCAGCAATATTCCAGCTATATGACAGTGGTCTGTAAATAATTGAGACTGGACCAGACTATCCAGTGATTGATATCATGAGCATCGATCCATGCAATTGGGATACGATGACATGTATCAACCAAGTCAGCAAGCCTGACCACCCGATCCCGTAAGTCGTCTCTTACAAGCATAGTGAGAGGACAATTCTTAACAGTACCTTTTCTTTTTTCTCTTCCTCTTCTGCAACCTAGTAAAATGAATACTACTTTCTTATGTTTGTCAAAAAACAAACACTTCATTTACGGGATCTTGAGACATTAAAATCAACAGGCTACATTGATCTTGCTAGTGTGAGTAAAACCTTTTTTGGAGATTACCGTATTTTCTTGAGTATAGTGCACACCCATGTATAATGCACACCCCCCTCTAGTGGGTTCAATATTTTGGAAAAAAAGAAATTTGAATATTATGCGCAGAAAAAAATAACACCGTACCCCTTCAGCGAAGTCCGGCAAACAACGGGTGATGAGAAACTTCGTCAGTACAATTTCGAAATTTGAGATAAAAAAATCACCAGACATGTTGATTTACCGTTTAAATTGTATTTTTTGTTCAGCTTGGCACTGTTTTATATCCAGGGATTAAGATTACCTTGTGTATTTTCTCGTAAACTAAGCCGGACACAGCAATCAGCTGTACACACGTTTTCTTGGAATCTACCAGTGATTCGGTCAAGACACACCCAATGATATAACTTTACAGTACTTTAATGCAAGGATCGGCAAAAGTTGTATCTCAAACTATTTTTTTATCAGGAATAATATATTCCAATATCTTGTTAATTTAGATGCAGCTTTTACTAACATATTTAAAATAATAATAACCCTAAGCGAAGCAGCTGAATGTTCTTGCCGGGTATTATTTTTTACATGGAACCAGTCTGACCACTCACCGTCAAGGCTCCTGTGCACGTGATCGCGAAAATTACGTGTTGACATAGAATCGTCCAACAAAAACAAATATGACTTTTAACGAATCAAAGTATGGCATTTATGATATATGTATCCATTCTCTGTCAACTAAAGTTCGTTTCAAGGCGTCAATAGCAGTAATCTGACCGTGGTGGCTGTTAATAATGCTGAGTTGTGCGATCTTCCGATCGCTTCACACAGGATTTCGCTGAAATTGATTAAAACAATATTAAAAGGAATTTTGAATTAAATTAATGAAATAAGTTACAAACATAAGTCCAGATATACAAAGAACACTTTTTTTAGCGGGACAGTGTAATTACATGAATAATTTGCGTACTTCAGTATTGATTTGTTGACATGGTATTTCCGGTGTTACGTGCTCACGGTAATGTCTTTCCATGGGGGGAAAAAACATCAAAACTCATTAAATCGTGTATAATGCGCACCCCCTTCTACACAGCTGTGTTTTTTGGAAAAAAAGTGCGCACTAGACTCAAGAAAATACGGTAATGTTCCTTAAACTGAAAACATATTGAACCAGTGATGTGCCACTTGACATCCATCACCAAACACATTTCACATGAGGCATCAGCTGCAACTACATTTGGACTGTCTTCCTTTCTCAAGAGCAATAACTTTATCAATGCTATGGTGTTAGAGCTCTATGTTTGTAATCATCAAGAATCAGATACATGTTGACATGTTGAGCTCCCTACAGAACACAAGTCCAGAACTATTCATGGTATACTGGACTACAAGCTACTGAAGCAACTCTATCACAGCAACCGAAGTACCTCATCTTTTTTCTCCTCCTCTTCTCCAACCTAGCAACATAATTTATGCTTATTTTTTTTTTTTTAAAGGATGTTTTGTGTAATATAGCAAACAAGCATTGCAACACAGCACATTTCTCACAACTTGTATGAATGGCTGTAGATGTAAATTCTAAATATGGCATAAGCAGAGCTAATGCTTAATATCAAGTGATAACAGTCACCTAGGTATTTATGCAACTATTTTCACAAAAATAAATTGTGGCAAACTGTAATGTTCTACAAGCTGAAGAAACAACTCTGACAGAAATACCTGATCATTTCCTTCTTCCTCTTCTTCTCCCTAAGAACACAATTAAAACTTATTTACACTTAATGTTGAGCATAGGAGCATAGGAGAACTAGCATTTCCAAGAACAATATCACTGGCAGATCCCTTTTTCAGACATCTAACAAACCATCCTATCATGCGTTTTCTTTCACTTCATGACCTGAATATAGGGAGAATCCCACCTTTTCCAAAATCCTGAATCTGCTTCTAACATCATCAAACAAACAATCCTGTTCAGTGTTTATGTTTACCGGTAATTGCCAGTAGCTTACTAGTAAAATAAGCCATGTACCAGTAGAATTATTATACCCTATCTTTCCAAAATGGTGAATGTACCGATATTTTCAAGTGCTGCCGGTCCAGTGAACCAGCAAATTTATAATTGATCAGAAAATACTACTGTTACAAGTTGTAACTTGTCCAGAAGCTATAAATCATTCACTCTAATAAATTCTCCTTATCAATAACTTGATCTGAAATACATACTTCTTCTATATTCAAAAGAATAAATTATCCCTTTGTCCTGTAACAGCGGTAATTTTTCTCACTGATTAATGAATCTTCTACACTGTATCTCTATCAATCTCACCTTCCAGAAGATAATATTACTATATGCCTAATAAGCTGCTAATAATAATGACATAAAACATATACCTTCTCCACCTGGTTGTGTTCTTCCTCTACCTATACAACACAAGCATATCTCACTTTAGTGAAAATCACAAGGCGAAAAACACTGTTTACTAATGACAATGATTGCTTCATAATGACATCTACATCAAATGCTACACTTTTCAGGAATCAACAAGTGTTTCTCTTTGGAAGTTCACTGTCAAGATCTCTTGAAAAGTAGAACTAATCTCACAAGAAAAGCAATGTATACTGGAGTATGCACTAGACTAACAACATTTTCATGTTCCTTTTGTTGATTTTCATGAAGCATCTACCAACTACACGCACGATAACTACCAAAGCTTGTCAGATGATATTTATAAACAATTTCAACAAAAAATGGATGAATGGACGTTCACCAAGGCACTATTTACAAAGATGTGCATCTATGAATCAAGGTATGCATCTATGTATCAAGGTTTTCATCTATGTATTAAGGTGTCCATCTGATAACAGAAGAGTTCATCTATCCACAAAGGTGTTCATCTATTTACAGTAGGGCTAGGATGATACACCAACTGTGCAGTCTGATATGTATCACGATACCTTGCTCATGATGCAATACGTATCATGATGCTTGCATGTGCTCTTATCCTGGGTCCCCAAGCCATTTTTTGTCATAGACAGGATTACCAAATACCTGGCACACTAACGATTTACAGTTGGCAGTGTCAATTACGACACAATGGATGAAAATACTTACATTTTCACTACTAATTTTCACTACTAATTAGTATTAGGTGTAACAGTTATTTAAGCAAACACTAAAGGTAAGAATCAATATTTTCTACTTAGTATGCAACTGTGATCGATACTTATAATCGAGAAGTAAAAATCGCAATCCACCGATGCATCGGTGTATTGTCCCACCACTAATTTACAGGAGTTCATAAATCAGCCATGGTCTTCATCTGTGTATTAAGGTGTTCATCTATAGATTCATTGAGTTTCGTCTATTACATATCTGTACATTTCCATATATTTCCTCCAATATATCTACTTGCAACTACAACCCCATGTACAATACGTAATCCTTTTTCCCTCTCCTTCCTAAAAAGAATACAGTGTTACTGATGTAATAGATCTGACTGCAGAAAATTGCAACTCAATTCAGGAATTGCAACACTAGTAGGCAGGCTGCTATCAGGTCATCAGATTCAAGTGTTCCAAGGCTATCCATGACATGTTATTACAAAATACCTCAATGTCTGTAAGGAAATCAACTCACATAGCATAACAACTACAAGCTGACAAAGTAGAGGCAATACCTGGCTTGTTTTCTCCTCTTCTGTTCCATCTTGTTCAACCTAACAATACAATTTATGATTTCAGTCTAAGGTTGAAGGACACAAGCTCTACGAAACCTAAATCAATTATTCTGCTAATATTGGAACATGTAAATATGCGTAAAACTATTTAAAGTTACTTTATTTCAATAGACTAAAAGTCACTTATTTTGACCCTTTGGATTCTAAAACAATTAAGATGAATTCACAAACTATGATCCACATGTGTGTAAACCATGACCCTCTTTCATTCTGGGGCTATGTACTTCTCAATAGTCAATACACATATCTTGAGTGACGATAACTGCATGCCAATATACCTTTTCCCTTTGGTCACCTCCCTCTTTATTTGCCTACCAAGAAAAGCACTGGTGTTAGTCCTGGGTTCAACAATACGCCATATAGCATATTCATTACAGTTATATTTCGACCTTAAATACTAACATGTTTTGTTTGTTTATTGTTTAATGCCTTGCTCAGCCTGTGTCTGGACTTGACAATCCAGTGATTGATAATATGAGCAATGGTCCACACCATCAGGGTACGACGAACACGTGTCACCGAGTCTGACCACCCTATCCATTAAGTCGAATGTAAGTAACTAGACAATGTAATTCATTTGTTGTTGATAAACTCTAGACATGATGACATGCTTTACAAATGTCCACCAGTGCCTTAGAATAATCGCTTGAGCACATTTCTTGAAATACCCACTAGGACAAAAGCCCCTTATTTGATAAGCTACTGATAGCTCCACATGTAACTCCACACATCAACTTCACAGCAACAGCAACTACCTCGTTCTGTTTCTCTTCTTCTTTCTCCCCACCCTATTAAGACAAAATATTCATAACTGATCTACTATTGTACATGTTGGAGAATATGCATCTCTCGTTTAACATCCAACATGATGAAACTCCGTACAGCCTGCTTCCAGTGCTGTTCTTAATAAAAACATCATTCTGCATGTACTGTAACCAGATCATATTTAACTTAATGTGATATAGTTTTTTACTTAATAAAAATTGTCTTCAAGTTCCTACTTCATTAATTCTTTAACTTTATCATTTTGTCAGTAATCTGTAATCATCATACTTATCATGCTTATTAATAACCTTTTGTGTTTTGTCCAACATCTATTGATACATATATATTTGAAGTTGTTCAATACTGTATCTGGTATGTAACGAGATGCACTTGCTACAAAGCAGCAGACAAACACAGCAATCATCCAAATACCTCCTTCTCTGTGCTTTCTTCCTCATCGCCTCCCTAGCAACACAATCATTACTGTTTTCAGGAGATGTGTATCATAACAGTACTCAGAAGGAAATATGAACTACTCATAAAAAATTTCTACTGAAAAATGCAGAATACAAACAATGATTACACTGTATCTATATATGGCCATGCTTTGAAGTTTTTTACACTGCTCAACACTATCAAAAGCACAGAGATACTCAACAGTTTATACAGATAGGCGCTTCAATCATGTGACAATTGATAACAGTTGTTAACAGATGGGAACTTGAGCTTTGTGACCATTGATAACATTTGTACACTATTTGGGCACTTTTGACTCGTGACCATTGATAACAGTTGTTAACAGATGGGAACTTGAGCTTTGTGACCATTGATTACATTTGTACACTATTTGGGCACTTTTGACTCGTGACCATTGATAACAGTTGTTAACAGATTGCTCCTTATTATTTTATCATTGATAACAGTTGTTAACAGATGGGCACTTCAGTCAATGGACAGTCAACAACAGTTGTAGTGGATATCTCTCATGGATAGACAAGATGGCAAGCATTTACATTTTCAGCCATTTATGGAGCTGTCCGAAAAGCAGTTCACAACCACACCAAACAATTATACCTTATCCAATTTTTCTCCTTCTTCTTCCTAATGGAAAATATCAAATTTTAAGTATTGGAAGTGAATCAAAACATGAACTCATATTTTCTTCTAAATCAACAATAACAATGAAAAAGTTCATGAGGAAAGATGTCTGATGTGTAAACAATAAGGAGTCAGTAAAAATATACTGCAACAGAAAGAAATTATTAATCCAATCAACAAAACAGGCATTGTTTATACATATAGATAACATACGTTTAGCAAGTAAACATTGTCAAGTGAAAGTCACAGCAAATGGGAGAACTGACAGACAAGGGTGTTGTCTTCTATCAGCATGCGATCTCACACAAGTACAGTTACTGAGAAGATTTATGCTTTGGATGTCGTGTATTCAAAATATTTATCAACTTCATCTTCTTGAAGACTGAAACACTTCCTTCAAAGCAACAATTCATTCATTCTCAAAACAATGGTTCACTGGAAGTGCATAAGTAATTTGTCCTTCCATATCAAAATATTATTTTGAATGATTTGGACACATAGAAACTTTTATTACAAGGAAGTGTAATACACTGTTTATTCAATGATTAACCAAACAAATTTGTAATATTTTGATGAATCAATTTTGAATATGAAGATTATAACCACACGCAGCATTTTGCAATATGCACTCACATCTACCTGGACACACATCATCTGTGTCAACATTTGCAATTATACAGGTTACTTTCATTTTGTCTGCCATTTCCATTTCTTATGGAAAAAGATGAAAATCAGATCACACGGTCACCATGTAACTCCCTACACATATCATGGGTGTTGGGTGAGATGTTAAGTGCGTGAGTTGGGTTTTATGCTAGTTTTACCATTATTCCAGTCATATTATGGTGGGGACACTAAGAATGAGGTTCACACATTCTACCATTGTAGGGAATCAAACTCGGGCCTGTGTTGTGGCGAGCCACTTCAACCACCAGGCTACCCAACTACCCAGGGTGTGGTGGAAGAAAAAGGGGCATCTGCAATCATACAGATGGGAGGAGAGCCATCCTTCCCACGGAGAAGTGCTCCGATTCTACAGATTCGACTATCGGTTACTACTACTAGGGGGTGGGTCTATCAAACCAACACAAGTACCTCGTCCTTTTTCTCTGCAACTTCTTCTCCCTAACAACATAATCATTGATTTCAGTCGATGGTTGTTTCAAATATTAAATGTTAACTACTCACACTTTTTCAAGGTTCAGGTAATGAACAACGCTGTTTACCCTGATTATATTTGATATGGTCAAATTACACAGTTATACTAGGATATAGGTCATATTTTACATGATTCACATGGTCAGATTACATTACAAAGTATTTTGACCTGGTCAAGTTTCATATTTATAGAATATTTGCATAGTCAACAAATTACCTGGTCAAGTTTCATATTTATAGAATATTTGCATAGTCAACAAATTACATATTTACTGTATAGTATTTCTATAGAACATCTGAATGGTCAAGTTACATGTTCATAGTGAAGTCTACAACAAAATACATCCAACTTATGATCATATCATGATCATACTAATTTCTCAATTATGAATTGGATTATTTCAGTAATGTTCAATGATAGTTCAGATAGTGGCGAGATTCCTACATGGTATTGGTGGATGCTATTTCTCTGTAAGGAGATGAAACATGCATGGAACCTACATACATGTATTACTCACAAAGTACCAATCTGATAGCATGAATAGGGAGGTTCTGAATGGCCTGTCATATCACATATTGTCAATTGACAACTTAATATCTTCTTAATTCAAATGACTGACAATGATCTGATGAATCTAAACTAAAATTTTGTTGCTATTAATGACTGCTTTGTAATCTAAGGGTAACAGGATCCATTGCAACAATGGGGACAAATACCTCATCCGTTTTCTCTTTTTCTTCACTTTATTCCTCCTTGCAAAATAATCATGACATTGTCTGCACATTGTTCCAACATGTCATCAAACATTCCACTACACTACTAAGTTTAACTAAACACTTCACTCTTAGTTTTATGCTATGAGTTTGTATTTTCCAAAGGTTTCAGAGAATGTCGTTTTTTATCTAAAATGTCAATACTATTTATTTATTTGTTTCATGCTGCACCCAGCAATATTCCAGGTACATGAATAGCCCTAAAATGATCGAGACTAGACCAGACAATCAAGTGATCGATATTGTAAGCAAAGATCCACACTTTGAGGTACAAGAACATGCTATCAAGGAAGTCACCGAGCCATGCCACCTGACCCCTTTGATCGCCTCCTACGCTGTCGCTGGGGACCTATTCTAACCCGGACTCCCCCTGGGTGATGTCAATACTGATCATCCTGAAACATCTGGAATGATCCATTAGGTCAAATATCTGCTGCACTATCGTAACAAGAGTGAGTGAGTGTTTGTTTTTACGCCACTTTTAGCAATATTCCAGCAACATCACGGCGGGGTACACCAGAAATGGGCTTCATACATTGTACCCATGTCGGGAATCGAACCCAGGTCTTCAGCATGACAAGCGAACGCTTTAACCACTAGGCTACCCAACCGCCCCTTCGTAACAAGAGTAATTATATATTTTCAAGGTTTTGTAAGGAAGGGCAACATGCACACAGCTAGCGACTAGAGATACCTTCTCTGCCTTTTCTTCCTCGTCTTCCTCCTAACAAAACAACCATTTACCAATCAAAAACATGGAAATTTGAAATGAAAAAAAATTAAAAAAAATATCTCAGTGTTGCATTGGGGCTTTGGGTCTTTGATTCTTACATCAACGACCCCTTGAAAAATAATTGAAAAAATAATGAATGCCTTTCACTGAGCATGCTGATTGCAGTTTATTAATGAATTATGTATTCATAGATCCTCAGATTAAAGGTTATATTTTTTATCACAAGCCATTGTCATTGGATAATAATATCAAAGCTTCATTAACTACTAAGCAGTAATTGATGGACTGGACCAATATTCTCGGCAATGTCCTAGTGTCCAGTTTATAAGGAGGGAATGGGGAGCAAGATGTTCATTTACAAAGGAGAGAGGTGCAACACTCAGCTAACAGTCATAATTATCTTATAATATGAGGCAAAGTGGAAAATAATATCCACCTACAGGATTGTATATTATCACTGCATACAATTATTTCGCCTGTCTGAAATACATGAGCACACAAGGAGGGTTGTTGTTGGAGATATATTACCTCTTCCCCACTATAAATCTATGGTTAAAAACATGATGCTCGTTGGAAGGAAAAGTGGCATTCTTATTTTCCTATTTTGTTATGCACATTAGATATCAACATATTATAATAGCACTTCATTCATATCTGAACACATTATATTGTAACAAACTCTAAATTTTCTATTTATTTTGATGTCCTTTCACACATGAGCATGAACAGGGACAGTACAATAGAACAAAAAGAAGTATATGATACTTCATGTAATGTATCTGAGTACTGGAAGGGATACTGACAAACAGAAAAGGGCAGCTTGCACAAAATGGAAATACCTTATCCTTTTTCTGTTCCTCTTCATCACCCTAGCAAAATAATCAATACATAAGGATAACATTATATTAAGGAAAATTCAAATGTGACTTTTGTTTGTTTGTTGCTTAACGCTGCATTCAGCAATTTTCCAGCTATGACGGTGGTATGTAAACAATCGAATCTGGACAAGACATACCAGTAATTGATATCATGAGAATCGATCTATGCAATTGGGATACAATTACATGCTTCAACCAAGTCAGCGAAACTGACCACACGATCCCGTTAATCGCTTCTTACGACAAGCATGGGTGGCTGAAGGTCTATTTTAACTCGGATCTTCATGTGTCTTAAATGTGACTAATCAACAAATGCTTCTTGAATAAAAGAGAATATTCATGTAGCTTAAATTAAAGCATGTTGTTAAAACCATGTCTCTTAAAAACTTAAATACAACAGATGTGAAAATGATTAAGTACAATGTAAGTATTCTTACTTAACAGATTCTACCAACACAAACAACTGTCTGCACATATTTCATTATCAGAAATGTGAAATACTTACTTTAACAGGTTTAACATAGAAGTTTCACCTAAACATGCATGTGTAATGCAGAAATCTGATCAACGGGTCAAACATCTATGAGGAAGTCAAACAAAATGGAGAACTGCTGTCACTACAGGAGAATGATTTCCTTGATAAGTTTTTGCTCAAGACAAACCAGGGACAGACACAGACACTAGTCTGTCAGTCCAAGACTTTTTACAATCTAGAGGGACAAATGGAAATCTAAAATAAAAAAAATAGAGTTATGTTACATTAACCACTAATTCAAGTGAGCAGCGAAATATTTGGATATGACCAGTGGTACTACCCCTGCAAACCATGCACAATGTTCAACGTGTCCAATGATCAAACATGGGGAGTCATCAGCTGATTTACATGTATATCGTGTGTTTATATTCTCTTTCTACACCAGGTGCTATGGGGTAAAACCCCCTTCAACTGAGACTTGGGGCATGCTTGCAACGCCTGGCACGTATAAATCTATTTTCTACTAGGGAAATCAAAACCACTGCAATAAAAATACCTCTTTCTTCTCCTTCTCTTCCTCTTCTCCCTATTAACAAAATTATTTAAAATACTTTTTTCCCAAAACAGCCTTTAAGACAATCAAATATCAATTATATCCATGAATTGAATTTTGTTTATAGAAAAGACGGTTCATAAAAAACATAAGGATATTTGGTATAGTTTAGGTACTAACTTCCCAGATGCTAGCCGTATAGCCTATATATATATATATATATATATATACCGTATATCGCTGTGTATAAGGCGACCCCACGTATAAGACGACCCCCCTGTACACGCCTTTAAAATCAACCCAAAATCCTATACTCCGTGTATAAGGCGACCGGGAATGAAACACATCACAAGTCTGACTGATATAGAAGATTTAACCTGCGCTTTCCGACTGTAGCGTATTTCGCACACGGACATCAGAAGTTAGTTAGTTACTTTGGAGATTTAACGTGCGCTTTCCGACTGATGCGTATTTCGCACACATCACAAGTGCGCACACAAACCTTATATATGCAATAAAAATATGTTTATCTTGCGTTGTTTTTTTTCTACAACGATAGGTCGCGTGTGTAACTCCAGCACACGTCGCCATTTTGTGTTTACACGGTACGACACCAAATTGGTGCCCGTAAAATAAAATTCATTTATGAAGTAATAACATATAAGAGACAATGGTGAGTAATTTAATCGCCAATTAACTATGTTGTAACTAACTAGGCTTATGTTTGCTTCACATTCAGCGTGTTTATTCCACAATCACTTGTACACACCGTCTCCAACACTTGTTAATACAACTGTAAAAACAGCGGGAATTGATTTCAGCTTCACCGGTTATCACATGTTAGGTCACATGTGCAATATGCAAATGCTTACCAGTACTTCCGGCTCTCTACTCGCGGATGTTGATTGTTTTACCGTGTCAGGTGGTTTGACAATCTGCATCGAGGCGAGGGTCATTTCAACTTTATTTGCAGAAATTATTAAACTTTATTCAAGGAAAAGAGATACAAATCATGTTTATGTATGGAAATAGTTATTGGAACAGTTATTTAGGACGAAATGCGAAGTTTTATTGTCAAATGCTGGGCTGGCTATCGGACGCCGGTTGACATCGCCAGTGGAAAAAAATGTGAGATCTTCGACTCCGTGTATAAGACGACCCCCCTTCTTAGCCCCCTTATTTTAGGTACGAAAAACTCGCCTTATACACAGCGATATACGGTATATATATATATATCATCATCATCAAGAACTAATGTCTAGGCATGAAACTTTCCAGATGCCTCAATGGCAACCACGCCTAGAAATACAGCCTATATAGATAAATAGTCTGTGATAATGAATGATCATCAAGAACTAGTTCTGCTTTCTTGGTATGAAACTTCCCAGGTTCCTTCATTATTGTTCATGGCAACCATGCCCTGTCATATAACCTTCATACATGTATTGTCTATCTTCAAGAACTAAAACAAACTGATAACATACATCACACGGGAACACGCAAGGACATTTCATTTCAAAGTGATATGAAAGACATGCACTTCAGTATCAGGGACACCATGGTTATTTAAAGGCATTGTTTTTCATTGATAGAATGATACCTTCAATTTAGAGAAATTTGTCATTTTACAAAAAAATAAGAATAATATTCATATTTTATAGTCTGAGATTTTTTCAGCGGGAAAATATTGATTTCTGACAAACTGGAGGGACCTATCTCACAGAATAACTCAACTAGTTTAGATCGATTTCATAATCTTATTCAATAATTTACTGTTCATATACAATTCATTGATAGCACCTATACAAGTAAGCCTCATGTTAAAGGCAGTGTCAAATGTACTCCTTAGACTGACCACATCGATAAACATACTTCACATTACATGACATCATTCTCTGGCTTTCAAACTTTAAGGTACATCCCATCTTCCCGAGGCAAGGGCGTTAACTGACTATGAAAGTCCAGTTTCCATCCTTGCCAAACTAGGCTGAAATTCCAGAGTTACATTTTGCCTGGACTAATGTGTCTATGCATAGTCCAATCAAAATCGTGTAAACAACATGGACTTCAATGCGCAGATTTCTGTCGACTGCAGGGTTTGCAAGGCATAAATAACATCAATTGGGCGTCAACAGATATTTTGCAAATCCTTTCATGGTTTTAATCAAGGTGCTCTAGTGATTTGATGCACTTCGAAGAGTAAGACCCGTTTTATACCAATATATAGATCTTGATTATCGATCAGATCATCTTGACTGGGCACCGCCATTTTGTTTGAAGCAAGTGTAAGTGATATGAGAGATGGAATCTGATTGGTCAATAGGAGTGACATAGAAGGGACATAACTCGAAAAAGCCACTGGTTACGCTACAATCGAGCATGAAAATTCCAGCCTAGTTCGGCAAGGGTGGAAACTGGACTTCTATAGTCAGTAAACATCCTTGCCTCATGAAGATGGGTACATACATGGAAAGCTGACACAGGATGTTAACCTCTCTGCATGCAATCAAGGCACTGTGTGTGTCTGGTGCATTATCACACAGAGAGTCCTGACAGAAGGAAGTGGGACACTCTCACACACAAAACAAATACCTCTTCCTTTTTCTCTTCTACTTCTTTTTCCTAAACATAACAATACACTCATCTTTAATGTTATCCAATAAATAAACTTTTCAAAACTATTTACAGATTGAAGGCTTGACACTGACAACATGGACAAAACTATCTCTACTCCTTTTTACAATATCGTCAACGTTAAAGGTAAAACTTTGGAGAGTTAATATATGAATATATTTTTATAAAGAAAATACCAGGCTAAGGCTAAAAAAAATAATAGTATTGGTTCTCAGGCACCGCCCACATCATCATAAAGTCTGCCGCACATTTCATTTTATTTCCATTTTTAAAAAATGTAAATCTTTAAATATCCACCACCTCGAACATACGACCCTGGCAGTGAAATGCTACAATATTTAAGAACAACATGATTTCGCCGAAATTATTGTCAATAAAATTCCTCTACATACTAGCTTGAACAACCAAAAAAACAAAAAAACACCACCCGCCCTCACTATATTTTCAAATGCCATTGCCTGAGAGCCAATACTTTTTTTTTTTTTAAGCCTAATCATGCTAATTGAACATAGCTAAGGCTTTCTCACTTATTCATATATTACTGTTTACATTTATACTTTAGTGAGTGAGTGAGTATGGTTTTACGCCGCTTTTAGCAATATTCCAGCAATATCACGGCGGGGGACACCAGAAATGGGCTTCACACATTGTACCCATGTCGGGAATCGAACCCGGGTCTTCGGCGTGACGAGCCAACGCTTTAACCACTAGGCTACCCGACCGCCCCACATTTATACTTTAACACAATTGTAGTCTGTGACTTGTCCGAAGCCAGAGTCTAGTTAGCTAAGCGAATAACAGTCCAAATGATAATACTGAGATGTTACATGGTGCTATAAGAGCCAAGTCCTGTCCAGTAGACTGAAAAGTCTTGGGCACAGACCGCAATTGTAGCTGTACGGGGCTGCAAGACCTGTACATGACTTGCAGAAATCACAAAATATTTGAGTGAGCGAGTATGGTTTAACGCGGCTTTAAGCAATATTCCAGCAATCTCACAGCAGGGGTCACCAGAAATGGGCTTTATACATTGTACCCATTTTGGGAATCGAACCCAGGTCTTCAGCATGACAAGCAAACGCTTTAACCACTAGGCTACCCGACCAGTCTCAAAATATTTGAACCTATACCAGGTAATATTATCTAACTGAACATTATTAAGTCAAGGCAAAGGTCAGTTATGTAGGGAAGGGAACCACAGCAACAACAACAATACCTCATCCTTCTTCTCCTCCTCCTCCTCCTCCTGGTAACATAAGCATTAACACCATCACACTCTTGCATGTCTGGTTATTTGTTGTTTAATGCCGCACTAAGCAATATTTCAGCTGTATAACGGAGATATGTAAATAATCACATCTGGACCAGACAATCCAGTGAATGACATCATAAGCATAGATCTATGCAATTGGGATCTGATGACATGCACCAACCAAGTCAGTGAGTCTGACCAACCGATCCGTTAGTCATCTCTTACAGGTTGCTGAAGACCAATTCTAACACTGATCTTCACGGGGGGATCTCTCATGTAACAGAAGGGGGACTGACATACTTGGATGTGGGGCGAATGTGGTAGCCACAATTAGCAATATTCCAGCTCTGTCACAGTGGCCATAAGATCCTGACAATAACCAATCAGTTAACCCCACTGAAGTGTCTGCCGGAGTGAGTTGTGTGTTTCAGTCATATCACAGCATGTCATTTAATGTGGGAGGAAGGTCTGAAGTGATACAGGACATTCATCACTTCGGTAAACTGAAACTTCGGTATGGATATGATGATGACCATGCTTGAACAATCATGGTGAATAGCAAACTCAAACCCATGATCACGGAATCCTCCACAGTGAATAGCACAGCCCTAACGACTGGCCACCTGTGCCATCCAGTCTTTATTAAAGTAAAAGTATGAGGTACATGGGTTTATTTTGGCTTCCCACTGGGTTACACTCTAAAACTCCATGTAGTTAACCACACATTAGATGATATCTACATTATTAATGCTTATTATAGCTACTATGACTAGTACTGTTGTAAAACATTGATGTCATTGCTTCATCAACATGATGAAAAACATGTGTATAATTACTGCAAGATTAACGTTTAGTCTCTGAAAATATATGATTTTGATAGAAACAAACAACTCCATTTAAATTGAAATGGAGCCCTAATGAGATGGGACATTCAGAACCTGTGGAAAATCTAGACTTGCTTCATTTTGTGGTATAGCATTGCAATAACGGCTGGGCAGAAGGTCCAAGGACTGAGAAAGAAAACATATAGTCCAAGGACTATAGAATACTGCATGCATTTAGAGAAACAAGTGAAATATGTCAGGTATGTCAACTCCAAGCATGCCTTGCTGAGAGGAAATATGATAGTGAGTATACAGGTCTTCACGTCTCAACATAGCAGTACCATGTACATAATATACCATAAGGATATCATAATGAAGTTTGTATTTATATGACACAATCAGTCAGATTTCCTTTCCTGGAAATGAACAACATGGTATCATAGGAAAACTGTATCATGGATGAAGTAACTCTTAAACAATATTAAACGTTACGATGGTTCAGGAAATAAAGAAATCTTTACAACGATAACAAAGTGAAGACGACCTACAGAATACAGTGTCATCATAAAGTGTGATAACAGTGATTGTGTGATTAAAACATAAATAAAATTCACCAACAGCCGTGACAAAGTACAGTGATGCAAATGGTGTGAAAACTGATAACAGTTGTGAATATCCACGCATGATCTGTAAATGAAAAAGCAAGTACCTCTATCTGTGCTTGTGATACTTCAATTTTGTCAGCCATCTTCAGAAAAACGTATATGCCGTTTGATTCCACAGCATCATAAAAGCGATCATAGCCCTGCAAGGAAAGGAAAGCATTGAAACCAATTCCATACAACATGTACAATGCAGACGCAGTTGGCAACAACAGTCAAAAATATGGTCACCTTTAGTGAGTAAGTTGGGTTTAATACCACTTTTAACAGCATTCCATTTATATCACAGTGTGTCAGCTTAATGTGGGGAAAGCTCACAGTGATGCAGGTTTCAGATGGTTTCCACTTTGGTGAAACCCATGAGTATGGGTGCAGTGCTGACATCCTTGGTGCAGGAACCTTAGACGACTGGGCTACCAGTGCCCCTGTTGACCTTTATTCAAAAACAAATTCCACTGTTCTGTTCCCAATTACAACATACTAGTCGAACTAAAGGAAGAAGAGTAGGGGATAGAATATCAGTTAGAGAAGCAAGAAGATATGCAGTCTAATCCTTGGTAAGGTTGGTTTGAATATCAACCCTAATCATCAATGAAATGGCTTTAATCGGAGTAAGCAATACAGAATCATGTTAATAAATATGATATTGATATAACACTGATAAACCTTTAATTCTAACATTTTCATAATTATTTACCCTAATCATCAATGAAATGGATTAATCGTAGTACAGTAGTACTTAATCAGTGGTAGAAACTAACATGTTTGGTCTTCTAGTCCTTATGATGGTAACATATAGCAAAACCCCTAAAACTTGGCAAATTTGTACTAGTCCTTATGATACCTTAACAACTGGGCAGTTTGGCAAGGACTACAGGACTAGTGCCAATTTCTAACGCTGCTTAATCATGTTGATAATTATGATATTGACAAACATTTTATTCTTCAGTTTTCATAATTTTATTAACTACTTAAAAGAGCTGTGTTTTCAATAGAAATGTCTCTGGGTCTCACAATGAATTGTTATTACATCAGTCTTGTCATGTGCAAAAAGGGAAGAAGTAAAAGGCCTGTTGTTAGGAAGAACTAGATAATGGCCTTTGAAGATGACAAATAGGTTCTTTACAGATTCCCTTGTATGCTCATACCACTGACACAGTGAAGCAGGGTTGAAGCAGATCGGATCACTTTTTAGGACATTTACTGATTGTTATCCAAATATCCTGCAGATAATTTTAAAATTTGGTAATGAAACAGAAGAATGCCCAAAGTTACAAAATATGAAAATGTCTTAAAGCCATTTCTCTCCAACAAAATCACTGGTGAAACAAGTTGTACTGTTGACCATGTTAACAGGGAGAGGAACTAGGAGGCCTACAGTAACAGTGTCATAACCAAAACCCTCAACATGCACTTTCATACTCCAGCCTTAGAAATTTGTTTTTCTTAAAGTCAAGAGGACTAGTGGAAACCTTCTTACACTATTCCTCAGAGTTTGTAGCTAGTCCTGCTTGAACGAGACAAATATGTTTTCTATGTATTGTTCACATTTTCTATGATGTTATTTAGTTCAAATTTGTAGTAAAATTGAAGCCTTGAGAACTGGTTCAGAATCATAGCCCTTAAATGTAACTAGGCAAAGGCTACAATCACTGGAATTTTACTTGTCCTCCGTACAATGTAGTAGTCACGGGCTAGCAGACTAGCATGACTTGAAGGCTGCACACGGTGACTGTTAATATTTAATGTGATAGACGACTTACCCCACAGTACTCATCATCACTGAAGATCTGTGGTGGCAAGGGGTTCTTCATTCCTTCCTTTGGTTCTGCATTTGCCCTCATAAACTTCTTGTCTTCCTCTTTGGAGGGATCGGAGATGTCAATTGTCTCCATGGGTATATTCATGCTGGAGAGAATGTCCGTCACGTGCAGCATCTCTTTCTTAAGCTGAAAAAAACCCACAATGGCGACACTCATTGTGCTGTTTACATGGTTTACCCAGTCCATCGAAATATTACATATAATTTACATAATTATACATTAATTCTTCTGTGACTGTATTGGACAATATCCACACACAAGGGTTATATTGCGATATGTGTATTGCTGACATCCGTATTGCAATATACCGGTATATCGGTATACTGGAGTTACACTGCACACCCCTAATTATGAGCTGACCTTACTTGACCATGTGGACAGAATGACATTTTAATTTAATCAGGCTTTGGACTGACTAGTGGCTAATGTCCCTGATTGGAATTGTCTCATATTAAAGTATCTGCCAAAGTGTCATCATTATTACTGAGTATGCACTCACTGCATCCAGTGTGACAACCGAAGATGTATTCAGAATGGGTGAATGAGAGAATTTTGTTTTACGGTATAGTAAAGAGATGCCTGCTTAAATAGTGTTTGAAGGAGTCCTGGGTCCTTGAGGGTTGCTCAGGGATAGAGGTAGTCTGAGGTAGTAACAGTCCAGATGGACTAGTTGTTTGCTGCTATTTTAGTCAGTGGACCTGCTAAATCTATCATTTTTAACATAAGGGTCATAACAAGGACCCCTTTGACTTTCATTTGAACACAGCTAAACTGTATTCGTCCCTTCAGTTGCTAACCAGCAGTCAGTACCTTGTGAAATGTATTTCCAATTTATTACTTTATTTGTGAACTTCTTTCATAGTAAACACTCCAATTATAGCTGATGGCGTCACTCTCGATCTGGGTACCATCGATATGTACCCTGGGTACAAATCGATATATTAAATTGTACCCAGACTTTGGTAACCATGTCGTTTTGTACCCTGTCCATATCTATTTGTACCCAGATTTCTGAAATCCTGCGACAGGCTATGTCCTAAACTCATAGACGTCTGGTTTACGACATTGTCCATCATGGCTGCTCCCGCACGTGTAAGACAAGAAGAACTTGCAAATTATTTAGGATCAATAGAGACACTTTCTTTGGGTGAGTTTGTTCGGAAGGGGATGGAGATTAAACGAAAGTATGTCTTCATAGAAAAACATAATGATGTAAATTTAGGCTTGGCTGACATGGTCAGGAATGTACAAGGCATCTTCTTGGCCCTGGGGTCCTGCCATGCTTAAATTAATTTCGGCATGCTCAGCGGCTGACAATATAGTTGGAAAACATGCATGACTGCAAATTATCTCCCCTTCCTGCCATAAGCGTAATGATGTCGTAAAAGTCTCTCGCCGCAAAAAGAGAATAAAACAACATGGATACAAAGAGATATGGACAGGGTGACCCTATAGGACCAATTTATAATGGGTGCATTAAATGCACTACCATCAAAATAACATTCACAAATAGCTCCTTCCTTCTTTTTTGGTCCAAACTAAGCTACATGTGTACAGTTAGTGCTTTCCAATGTTGATATGTGATCTATGGTGCTGGATAGTGGGACCACTGAAGAGCTACAGGTTCATTTAACTTTTAAGTAAGTGAATGAATGTTGTTTTTATACAAATGTCTGCAATATTAATTATAAACAGTTAGTTAATCATGATGCCTATCCGAAAAATCAAATCACCTACAACAGTCAACAACTAGAACAGCAACATCAGAGCCTGGAAAGCCCTGCTACTTTTTGCCACATAAAAGTGTTGTGCAAGTTGTGGAGGTACATGTACCATTATTTCTGATTACTAAAATGTACAAGATCAACCCAGGCAGGTATTGCAGTGAATCTTTGACTCATTGGATGGTTTACCCTTTATATTGTTTCAAATCATCAAATCAAGCGTGGTAGTATCAAGTAATAGCTCAAAGTTTGGCAGCCTCTCATAACAGCTACCTTGTTGATTCAAGCTGGTGTGGACACAAGATTTACACTGTTTGCAATGTCCTGACTGAAAACATTCCTTGAAATGTATTGGGAACGTGTTACTTTTTGAAACAGGTTGTCATCAGTCTTTTTTAATATAATATTGTTCTTATAATTTATGTTTACAGTTGAGTTTAGGTTCATGATTTTCACAAAATCATGAAATGTCCATATCCAAAAGTAGATGCATTTACAGAGCTCTTTCCAAATTGATAGTATCTGCACAGACCTATATAACAAGTCCGTGGTATCTGGAAACAGACATTAGACAACATCATGAACTTGAACTTTACCATATTAACTGGCGGCAGAAAGATATTAGTAACGCTTGTCATTATCAGTTTACTCAGGTTTGAGACACTGCGATCATTGATTGATGTCTGTCCAAAAACAAGATCTAACTTCTAAGCAGAAGTCAAACCAAAGGTGAAAGTTTTGGTAATGGTCAATAGTCACATTGTGTGAGAAACTCAACAAACAACGCTCAAAATTTAGTTTCAACGACTCAGCGGTTTCTAAACTTTTGTAAACAAACACTGTCGAGTGTCATTTTGACATGGAGCAATAAGGAGTGGGTGTGGCTAGTTTTGTTGACATATTTACCCGCATACTGCTGCAAATGTTCGTGACGTAGACCTTGATCACCATCTTGTCAAAAATTTGCAAGTCTACTGGATCGAAGAAGAAAGTCAAATGATCAAGGAATGATGAGCACCACCCGAAATTCCTCGATGATTCCGATTATGGACAGATTAGAGGCTGTAATCCGAAACTACCCAAAACATCCGAGACTTTGCAAGCGTTCACTTCTCGTGACGTCACAGGAAATGATGCAACGTATAGCACATGAGATAGAACGCATAAACCCATGACGTCACATCATACCAGCAAAGTTGTTGCCTTGTTGCTTGGCAGATAAATAACAAAGTGCATACCGGCGTGCACGTTGATAGAACTTTTCTGTCAACCTTCTCTTATTGGATTCATGAAAGATGCACCTTTATGGTAAGGAATGTTTTGGACTAATGGCGACGTTCTGAAAGTGATTTGACAGGTGTATGTATGCAGATTCTGTGAAAAAGAACCTCAATGTTGACTTACACACAAACTGACACTTGTCAACAACTGCATTAGCACCTTTGCCACCTTCATCTTTCATGTAGTAGTTGATATCTAAGCTAGTCTATACATTTTTTACTTGTAGATAGTATGTCATATATTTTTATTTGTATGTTGATATTCTATAACTTGTAAAATATGTGTTATAAACATGTTTCTTCATTTAGGCCTCTTGCATCCCGCAACAAGCAAAATGGTATTTTTTTCATGTAGTTCCTCACCTTTTAAAAGATAGACCAAGATTGCATCTGTAAAAAGTGAAATATTTGTAATACATCATGGTTTGTCTCATTGGCATGTTAATTGTCAACAATGGAGACTTTGTTTATTGGGGGTTAAATAACGATGTTAACTATTATAATTATCTATCAACTGGTCATACCAAGGTTCATACCAATAAATCGGATCTCCAAACTGTTTCATTTATACAGAAATCTTTTTGAATAAGGTTACCAGTCATTCATATTCCTGTATGAAGTGTCTGAGTTGGGCCTTTGTTATTAATTCAAGGAAGATAAACAATATGTTGCCATCAGCAATAACACAAAAGAAGTGTGTGAATCTATAACTGTCTCTCATGCCATCAACATGATCAATAGCTGTATGTATAGTTTCAGTTTATTACTTGTTGATGATCCTATTTAGATCATGAGGTGAAATGTAGGTGGCTTGTAGACTAGCTTGTGTGATGTTAAGATTTTATTAACTCTCACTGGTGTCTATACTTAGTTTTGTGATCTAGGTTAGGGATCGACATAACGTCTGTTAGTGCATGGCCATGATAAAAACTCAGTGACCTAATTTGTCAGTTTTTTTATGGTCAATGAGACTTTTAGTAATTAATTGTTGTTATTATTCACACAAAAAATGAATGGCAGATTTGTTATTCATAGGGTATCTTGGTTGGTACAAGTCATATGATGGTAGATGGTCACAGTTTATGTTTCTGAACAAGGGATGTAATTGGAATCCAACATTTATCACCTTTTCCTTTAATAATCCTCAGAATGAGGAAAATTGTTGATTTTTATATTATGTTTTGGACTGTTTACACAATGTCTACAAACAGTGGGTTTATTTTCAAGATGGTATTATGCAGAGTGATGTTTATACCAAGAAATTATGTAATGGTGAAGAGAGATTAGTTTTCTTAATATGTTGTTTAGTGCACCATCAAGTTCTTCTATCATCAGACTGCCTTTGTGGTCTAGTGGTAGAGCGTCTGCCGAGAGAGCGGAAGGTCCAGTGTTTGATCCCCGGCCGTGTCATACAAAAAGACATTTAAAAGATGGTACCTGTTCTTACCCAGTCTGGCGCTTGGCATTAAGGGGCTAAAACAAGACTGTCCAGCTTGGAGTCAGTATACTGTGTCTGGGTGAGGTATTCAAGTTAAACTGCAGCATTGTCCCTCAGTGTGCTAGCACTATAAATCATCATCAGTACAAGTACTAGTACAAGCATCCCTCCTCATGTCATACAAAAAGACGTTTAAAAGATGGTACCTGTTGTTACCCAGTCTGGCGCTTGGCATTAAGGGGCTACAACAAGACTGTCTAGCTCGGAGTCAGTATACTGTGTCTGGGTGAGGTATTCAAGTTAAACTGCAGCATTGTCCCTCAGTGTGCTGGCACTATAAATCGGTATCAGTACAGGTACTAGTACAAGCACCCCCTTCTCCCCCCCCCCAATAATTTTGGTCGCGACGTTAAACCCCATTTCACCTCCCCTCACCGACTCTAGCATCAATAACTGATTTCAAAGTCTGACTTGAAGGATAAAACATGATATTTGTTGTTCTAGTAATCTCTACACATTTGCAAATATACTGATCAAGATTTTCTCTGCCTGTGGTGTTCATTCTTCTTCCGACAGAAGCCTCATCCTGTTTGGCTTCAGACTGTTTTGTATGGTGTGATGTAGCTGATGTATGTTATTCAGAAAGTCTCAGGGAATGAAGAATGTTTTCCTCAATAGATGTGCTGGGGTGTCTTTTCCTTTTTGTTAAGCCAACTGCCATGCATTAGTAACCCGGTTGACTGCACAATGAGGCTTGACGGATCCTTTATCAGTAGTTAATGGGGTTATTTGTAAAGTTACCTGGACAGCCTGGGGCAACTTGGCATTATGTCATATTCAGTATCAGCAGTAGAACGGGGCCGCTGTCAACTCCTGGGTTCTAGGCACAAAGCTATATAGAGGTGGACTATAAAATTACCCCAAAATCACTTGGTGCTTGAAGAATATGTGAAATAATGTAAGAATCAGTACATTCAGCTTTTATAGCAAATATTTTACACTGCTGCACTGAAATTATGTAATGTTGTCATATAATTACTAATTAGATATCTGTAGATTTATCTGGTATTCTATTCTGTTCGATAAAGATTGATGAAGCACTGTATACATCCCCCCCCCCCAATATTTTGAATCTACTAGACCCTAACCATGGTTCTTAGTTTCGTGTCCAGTTGAGTTTGGTATTGTTGTATTGACTATTATTAGCTGAGCTTACTTGTCCAAATGTAATTTTAGTAGACTCAGGCTTCAGACTAGTGGTTGCAGTCACAGATTGTAGTTCAGGAGCAAACAGCTGAGTGATAACAGACTTTGATATTCTTGAACATTTGCTGAAGGAATCACTGACCATAGAATACTCTGGGATGGGGTATGTCATATTCTTATGGATGAAGAGTGTGCATAATGGTATCTACTTTCTCAAACTGAAAAGTATGATGTATCTAAAAGCTACAATTAGGTGATACACAGTTGCCTTTCAATATTGATACACGGTTGCCTTTAAAATATTGAAACACAGATGCCTTTAAAATATTGATACACGGTTGCCTTTAAAATATGGAAACACAGTTGCTTTTAAAATATTGAAACACAGTTACCTTTGAGCATTGATACACAGTTGCCTTTAAAATATTGAAACATAGTTACCTTTAAAATATTGATACACTGGGTCCTTTAAAAAATTGATACCCAGTTGCATTTAAGATACTAATATGCTGTTTCCTTTCAGATATTGATACAGTTGCTTTAAAAATATTGATACATGGTTGCCTTTAAAATATTGAAACACAGTTACTTTTGAGATATTGATACACAGTTGCCTTTAACATGTTTAAAATATTGAAACACAGTTGCCTTTAAAATATTGATACACGGTTGCCTTTAAAATATTGAAACAGTTGCATTAAAAATATTGAAATACAGTTGCCTTTAAAATATTGACACATGGTTGCCTTTAAACTATTGATACACAGTTGCATTTAGAATATTGATACACAGTTAACTTCAGAATACTGATACACAGTTGCCTTTAGAATATTGATACACAGTTGCCTTCAGAATATTGATACACAGTTGCCTTCAGAATAATCATACACAGTTGCCTTTAGAATATTGATACACAGTTGCCTTTAGAATATTGATACACAGTTGCCTTTAATATTAAGATATTGATACCAAACTGCCCTTGCTGCATTTCCGACACTGAGGCAATGGTACACAGTGGGCTTTAGGACAGTGATACTCTCCATAGTTGCCAACTTGTGAATAAGATCTGTATATACAGTTGCAGTTAAGTATATAGTTGCCATGTAGAAAATGATAAACAGTTGCATAAGATATTGATACACTGGCCTTAGTGTCTGACCATGTTTATTTTAATAGATTAAACTGTTCTGCTATAGTGATGCCTGAAATATATATTGTGGTAAATATCTGCTAATGTCCAACAGAAAACGGCCTTTAAAACATGTTAAAGGTAAATATCTAGCTAAAAAAATATATGTTCTTTTTGAAAAGAGCTAATTTAGTGTCTGATTTTGCCATGCGAGGAAAAATGACAATAACAGCAATCCCACTGTTTGTGTTTGTTGACTGAAATGGTTCATGTCTTTGTTGGTATAGATGTTTGACCTACACATTTCGATAGGTTAGGTTTATCTAGGGTTATTTATAATTAACTCTGAACAACAAACAACACGGAGCCTTATCTTCAACTTGAAATGGTATTGATGCATGCATTCATATGCTGCTTAGTCAAACATGACTTTCGCTTCACACTGCATGGGTTTATCTCCCGCCTTGTCAATACGGCTCAAGTTATGTGCTGTCAGGGATTACAGATCTCACTAAGTTATCTTGTGGAGTCTCTTTACCGTGTTTGTACCTTCAGAAGACCAGAACAGAGATATGTCATTACAGTGAAGGAAATGTTGCGATCTCTTTTCAATTACAAAATTAAACTTCATTATTAAACTCTTTATTTATATGTCATTACAGTGAAGGAGATGTTGCGATCTCTTTTCAATTACAAAATTAAACTTCATTTTTAAACTCTTTATTTATATGTCATTACAGTGAAGGAGATGTTGCGATCTCTTTTCAATTACAAAATTGAACTTCATTTTGAAACTCTTTATTTATATGTCATTACAGTGAAGGAGAAGTTGCGATCTCTTTTCAATTACAAAATTGAACTTCATTTTTAAACTCTTTATTTATATGTCATTACAGTGAAGGAGATGTTGCGATCTCTTTTCAATTACAAAATTAAACTTCATTTTTAAACTCTTTATTTATATGTCATTACAGTGAAGGAGATGTTACGATCTCTTTTCAATTACAAAATTAAACTTCATTTTTAAACTCTTTATTTATTATTTAAATAGTTTCATAAGTGTTTTCTTTATTAATTATGTTTCATATCTGATGGTTTAAAAATGGTAATAGGGGCGGTGGGGTAGCCTTGTGGTTAAAGCCTTTGCTTGTCATGCTGAAGGCCCGGGTTCGATTCCCCACATGGGTACAGTGTGTGAAACCCATTTCTGGTGTCCGCTGTGATATTCCTGGGATATTTTTTAGCACGTTTAGTGGGATCTTGTTTTGCTGTTGTGTGAATATTACACAAACACTTTGCCGTACAAAAATGAATGTGGCAAGTGGGTTGAAATCACCTGTTGTTAGTTTTTAGCTAAATAAAACTGTGTGAAAATATCACTGAAATTAGTAGTTTGTGATGGGCTTCATGTCATGAGTGAAGTATTGTGATACATAAGTTGTATCATGACTTGGATGTAGCATGATGTATAGTGGCAATTTGAGGAATGACATCAGTTTACAGGCCTACTTTTGCACATCAAATACATGCACCCACATTTGATTATCGCCACTCTTCATATTTTCTATCTGACATAAACTTATATCCATTTATAAAGCTTGAATTGAAAATTTCACAGTGTCTTAAAACTTTACCTTAATTTATTTTTATAAAAATAATTGTTTCATAGGCAGATGAAGGAGTAAGTTGTTGACAATGTAGACACAATTTTATAGATAACAACTTCTTTAATATGCTATTGTAGCGATTTTCAACTTTTTTTCAATACAGATAACTATTGAATTCTTTGGTTCATGTGACAATGTATTTATGGTTTAATATTTAGAACATTGCAATGCTATTTTATTTTAATACCTTTATTATTTATGTATATTAAATGAATAATTACCAGTTTCTAACAGTTATTTTACTTTTTAACATTAAGAATTACAAAAATCATGTTCATATTAAATGCCCATGATATTAAACTAAATCATGGTATCTCAGTGGGCTAGCACTATGAAATCGGCATTAGTCCAGACTAGTACAAGCAACCACACACACGTTAAGTGCAATAATCATGAACGTGACGTTAAACCCCATTTCATCTCACATCCCTAAAACTGTTTACTTTGTTATGAAATGAGGTGTATCCATGAGAGACAAGTAAAGGCCATGCAGAGTTCCTTGTATTTAAACAGTTAGTATTCAGATCATGTCACATGGCATTGGATTACACATCTGGAACTATGTGTACTGTGATGACACACTGCGTGTTGCAGGTGCCCCACCAGATCTGATCACACATTGTCTAACAGTCACACATGGCTGCCACATGTAAATGGAGGATCTTTGCGTAGGCAGTCATAGATGCTATCTTGTTCACTGGTTACAATATGTCTTAATCTGACTTTGTTAGTGTGTTCTAGTGTAGTTGGAGGCAGTGTGCAGGGCATTGTATCACTGTCTGCTAGCCCAATGCTTGCATCAGTCTAGGTTGGACCAGGGCTAGAAGCTGTTCCCTGTTGGTGCCCACAGCCATACAAGCTATTGTTTCAGTGTTTGAAATTACATGGGGTGCCCTGGAGCTTTGACATTTTCTGCTCTTGTACTTCTTTCTAGACTCCAAAGACTTGATTGCATTCTCAATGTCAAATGTTGTATAATTTTTTTATCTTACTCGTCGCTTCATGGAATAAGGTGGTATGGCAAATTTCGAATTTCTGGCATTGACATTGAACAGTTTTAACATACTAGTCCATCTGGCTTACATTACTTGAAACAGAGTTGTGTACAGTCACTGGTTGGATGCAAGATGAGAAGGAGTCCCCCATCACCTTATGAGAGAGTCCCGGCCCATCACCTTATGAGAGAGTCCCCAATCAACTTATGAGAGAGTCCCCCATCACCTTATGAGAGGGTCCCCCATCACCTTATGAGAGAGCCTCCGGAGCACATATAGGTTTATATATTACCATTATCAAATTTATAATAGACTAGTTTGGATGTTTGGAACAGTAGAAATTTCATCACTGAATCTAACTGAATGTGTTTTAGAAACTCCAGATTGTACTCCTACTTTGTCAAGTTGACCGATCTAAATTCCTTGACTATGGTCAGTTAGAGTTGGTGTATATCCTGTATATTACAATGCTGAATCAAGTCTGTGCTACAAGCTTAGGCTAAAGCAGACTTGACAAATAAATCGTACATAAAGCATAAGGAAGGTCACCTTTTTCATGAGTGAAAAGTGTTTCTTTTATTACGCTTTCTCACTGATGAAGATGAAGTGAGGTGAGGTGAAGTGAAGTGGAATGTGCTAGTCCAGACTAATGCCGGTTTTTTAGTGCCAGCCCTCTGAGACACCATGCTTCATTGTAACATGGATACCCCACTCAGACACAGAATACTGAGTCCAAGCCGACTTTGTTTTATACCCTTGATGCCAAGTGCTAACAGAGTAAGAAAATGTACTATCTTTTAAAGTCTTTTAAGTGTGACATGGCTTGGGATCGAACCAGTGATCTTCTGTTGGGGCAGATGCTCTATCCATTAGACCAGGGTGGAGTTGGGTGTGTATGTGTTATTGGTCTGTATATGTCTGCATATCAACAACGGTTGCGTCAAGAAATAGTACCGCTGTCTTTTCATTTTATTTTTGTCAGTAACGGGTGATATTTTTCTTGCAGTGGAAGTCTGATCGTGGTCGTGTGGCATCACACACAGCTTGAGATATTGGCCGGCCAATGGGAGACAGGTGACAGGGAAGGGAGGCAACCAGGCAACACCGGCACCAGCGATGTCGAAGGACGACGACTACGATGACTACAGCGATGACTTCATCAGTGATGATGAGGACGCTAAACGCAAGTCTAGGAACCAAGGGAGACAGGGTGGTAAGCAATATCATACGTAGACATCACTGTTACGTGTTGTCCTTCCACTTTCACCTTGATGTACTGGCTGTAGCGTGGCAGACCGCTCCAGTTCTGTAGTGTGGCAGACCGCTCCAGTGCTGTAGTGTGGCAGACAGCTCCAGTGCTGTAGTATGGCAGACCGCTCCAGTGCTGTAGTATGGCAGACCACTCCAGTGCTGTAGTAAGGCAGACCGCTCCAGTGCTGTAGTATGGCAGACCGCTCCAGTGCTGTAGTATGGCAGACCGCTCCAGTGCTGTAGTGTGGCAGACTGCTCCAGTGCTGTAGTAGAATAAGGCTACCAGTATTTGGCTGTATAGGATGGGTGCATGACCGGTTCCAAGGAGATGAACAAGGTATTTCTGTCATTACTGTATTTCTGGTAAACACTGAAAACAGTGGTTCTTATACCCATGAGGGTAGAAAAGATTGAGCGTTTAGCACAGAGGGTGCATAGAGTTTATCAAAGCTGATTAGTTGACAGAAATATAATATCATATTGCTGCATTCTTGACAACAAAATGATGCTAATTGTTCAAGACTAATAACATTCATGGCATTGTGTCTTGAGAAGAATTTATTTATGTCAGTCAAGTTTCTTTGCAATATCGATGTTGAGTACGTTTATTTTTCCATTTACTTTCATGCAATGATTATGCATAATGTATGGATTATCCAACTTGATTCCTAGAATTACCATGAATCCGTCACTTGTGAATGAGTTGCAAGTCCTGAGGCTTCTTCATTCACAAGGAATGGATCACCCATATAGAAAGTCCTGGTAGCAATTTGGCTATTCTAGAAGTATGGCATCACTGCTGTGTAAAGGAAAGCAGATCTCTGTTGCCAGCTGTGTGGGGGGGCCTGCTGCAGCCTGTGCCAGATCTATACACCCCAGGTGCAGCCATTAGCAGACTATTGTGAAGGGGTTGTCATGATCACTATCAGTTAACTGCTCTATAACTGTTTCAAGGAGCAGTCCCTGATTAATGAAAGCTTGAAATCTACTGTACAAATACCAGTGGAATGAAAGTCTACCCTTGGAGATTACTTATTACACAATTCTGATTGATGTTTGCAAGTGGGTAATCATGTTGAAGGTGTCTTGTGTCATCATCTGTGAGGACTGTATACATTAACTGATACGTCTGTGCCACCATTCAGGATCCAGGATATCAGCATCTTCTTCAGCCAATTACTCTTCTCTAAAACTGACCAATTTAAGGCGGGACTCTGATGCATTCTGGACATCTAGTCGCGGCCTCACTCATGACCTGATCCCGATGCGGGTCATCTCTAGCCCCGCACCGGACACCCCCATACAGTCTGACCATGACAGTGAGGCCAGTTCGCTAGATGATCGGCTCGATTCCAAAGCTCTGGTACCATCAGTTCGCCAAGGTTCTTCAAGAGCTCAGTCTGCCTGTCACTCCTTACGCCTGCAGAGCGCTCAAACTCGTCGCGTGAGTTTGTCGCGAGGCATCACCCATACCCGTACCCCAGCATCCCACCTGATGGCAGAGCTGACCGAGGAGACCATCTCTGTAGGGGAGAGGGAGGCATGTGCTGCCCCTAGGGCAGTGAAGAAAGCACCGATCCCTGCCAGAACGGGATGGAACAGGGTCACCGGCAGACCTCGCCCCAGGCAGCGTAATTAGAATTTGAAGTCCTGAGTGTCGTTACCTTGGTGCACATCACACATGGGTGACCACTGTGCACTCACTGTTTGCAGTGTCAATGATAACCAAACATATTACTCATTACTTTACAATATTAACACATGTGCGTTGTAACCATTTTCAATGCTGATTGGTCAAGTGAAGCAATATGACATCACATTGCTTCATTGTTGTGAGCAATATGATATGATGTCATCCATATTTTGAAGGGCTGGCAAAAAAGATCGATAATCGAAATTATCATCAATGGGAAGAAATAGTAACGATTATGGATATGAAAATTGTGTCATCGATAATACCTTACATAAACTATTGTGATGAAATAAAGTTTAGATTTACCAAAGCAGACTTGTTATTGTCAACATTGTATATTGCTGAAGATGGAAAGAACTGTTTTTGTTATGTCTCAAATGTCCACAACGTAATCCTTGCATAAATGTGCCACCAGGGGAGTGAAATACATTGATTTCTTTAGGAATTTGTTTTGCGTAATTACTCAAAAATACTTCTCCGATATTTATCGATAATTGATCAATATCTATACAACGATTATCGATCTCTATGATCTGTATCGATAGCCAACCCTAATATTCTGTGATGTCACAAACTGATTACATTACGTCGTCTGAACAGTAGGTTGACGTAAGTGAAATTTCTCTGTAGCATTGTCATTGCATACTGTTTTCTTCATTTCTTTCTGAATAATATATGGAAAACCCTACTTTCCTACCCACAGGTGGTGAGATACTTATCTGTACGTTACACATGTGTCATACAAGGCTGACCTCGTTTTATTCATTTTGACAGGATAACTACAGACAATATTTAATCAAGCTTTATCCATGTGCAATGTAAAACTACTGATAGATTTGGGTCCATATGAGCATGAAGAGTGTTCAGCGTCTCGACAGTTGTCACTTGTTTGTAAACAACTCCAAGCATGGTTGTGGTCATCTATCACTGTGTGGAGTTTTTACTGGTGGCAGCAATAGTATCATTCGTCACCGCTCGCCCCTTTCCGTAACATGCAAGAAGACTTGTCCCCCTAGCGATGAATGTTATGTGCAAATAGACTAACCAATCAGAATGCGCATATGATTTCAAGTTCTTCGTCAAAGAATCCCTCAGAAATAACTTTTGATTTTACATATGTCTTGCATCTAAAAATATACACAAGACACAGTTAAATGTGTTTAATCATGCTGTATAATTCGGCATGTCCTGATGTGCTTTAAATTGCATCTGAAATAATAAATTGCAATGAGTTGACAATTGTTTTAGGTATGCCCATTTGCGCTAAGAAAGAATCGGTCGCAAAAATGGCCATGAGAGGGGCACAAGTCGCTATTCGGCTTGTCCCAGAATAACACGAGTTGGTCATGAATGCAATAGTATTAGAGAGTTAAGGATATCACTCTCTCTTAATCACTTTATGTAGGAAGACCCTTTCCCAGGTTGATGGTACACAACTGTTTATTTGGTTACATACTAGTTACAAGCAAAAAACAAAAACAAAACACCGCCCGTCGGGACTATTTTTTCAAAAGTCATTGCCTGAGAATCAGTTTTACTTTTTACAGTGCACCAGTTTGCACTTTAAGATCCTTTCTTGTTTATGGCCTTTCTTTTCCATGTGGAAGGTCATGGTGGTTCCGTCCTTCATGCTTTCTGTAACTCCTCTAGGTTGTTGCCATTGCTACAGAAACATCTGTGTTTGCTGTTATAGCTTTCAACATGTTCAGGGGCGGTGGGGTAGCCTAGTGGTTAAAGCATTCACTCTTCCCCACATGCGTATAATGTATGAAGCCCATTTCTGGAGTTCCCTACCATGTTAATGATGGAATATTGTTAAAAGTGGCATAAAACCATACTCACTCACTCATTCCACATGTTCAAAACAGTTGTCATTTCTTTCCAAAGACAATGATGTGTTACTTTCTGCCTAGAAAGTTTCATCAATTTGGAAAAATCGACATATTTTCTCTTTGACGAAACATGTATGTGAGTGACATTGATATCTTGCATAGTCCAGTGTTGATGTAAAAGTAAAGTTATTCAGTTGTTGGCAATATTATTAATAATGTTATAATAAAAAAATGGAACATTTGGCTTGTATGATATTGTGATTGAATCTTTGCTATGAGTAAATAAAATCAGAACCAAGAGATTATCATACAAGCATCAGTAAAAAATCTGTATCACACGCATGCGAGTTTAATAATTTCTTTATTGCCCTTTATTTCTGAATCCTTTCGAGCTCCCCTTTAAAAAATTATCTGATCACAACCGCCGTCTTAGAAAACCACAATTGTTGAATGAAATCAACAGTCGAACATCTCAATAAGATTCAAATGACGTCAACAATGCCATCCGGATGACAAACAATACACTGGTGTGCCTGAAGTGATATATTTGCACAAGTGCACATATGATTTTTATGAACTTGGTTGTTTCTAACCCTATGGGTAATAGAGCTCTAACCTTTATTTAACGTCATACGTAATTGACTTTTGTTAAGCATGTCTGGAGACAAGTGAATCATTCTGTTAAGGCTTATTTGTATCCTGCTTCACATCAGAAATTGTTACTTACACAAATATATTTCATGAAATAAATAATTTGGGCATACATATTTCTAATGAATTTTCTTTTCATTTTAGCTTCATATGGAAAGAGCAAGGCTAACACAAAGTCAAGAGGTCGTGGCAGAGGGCGTGGTGGAGGACCGCCCCCGAAGCAGTCACCTAGAATCGATTATGTCACTCAACGTATGCTGTCTGCGGGTCGCATAAAGATCAATGAGCTCCGGAACCAGGTGGAGGACCATAACACAGTAATCCGAGACCTGCGCGAAGAAAACAAGTTGTTGAAGAAGACGCAGCACCGTCAGGAAAAGGCTTTGACGAAGTTCGAGGATCAGGAGGGCGATCTTCCACGGCTCATACTCAAACACAACAATGAGGTGAGGACACTCAAGGAACAGCTTAGAGTAATGAAGGAAAAGTATGAGAAGACCGACCGCTATCTCCGAGATGCAGAGGATGATCTTGACAGAGCCAATGTCAAGCTGAAGAAGTACAAGAGTTATGCTGAGAACAAGGGGCTGCCGGAGCGAGATGAACTCAACCGCAAGCTGTCCAAGGCAGACCTGGATGTTGAGGAGAAGGACAACAGGATCAAGGTCAGTGGCAGGGTGAAGGTCACCAATGTGGAATGGTAGCTCTCATGCTTAGGAGAGCTACCATTGCATCAGTCACACCATAATCAGTGTTCAGAATTAAAGGGCTCTTGGGGTCCTTGAAGATTTCTGCTATAGTATTTGAATCTAGGAACCTCTTAAGTCTTCAGTTTTTTACATTTGGGATATGACAAGGACACCTTGACATTCTTAATTTCGTCCACACTGATATCTATTTAAATAGCTCCATCCCTTTGTTTGCTATTTGTAGCACGGTTTAACCACCTTAAGCTCAGTGCTCTGTTGACGTGTTTACTCTCAGTGTGTTTTAATGTCTGTCAGTAACTCCTGTCTGTAATGTGTGTTTTATGTTCTCCACCAGGAGCTGCAGCGACACATTGATCACCTGAACAAGAACCACCGCCATGAGCTGGGGGTGGAGATAGCCAGACACCGGGAGACCAAGAGACAACTGGACCAGTTCCGGGGGGACAAGGACAACCTGGAGACCAAACTGAAGGTAGGGGCACCACATAGACATTATAGGGCCAGGCTCCAAGTAGGAGCACCACATAGAAATTATAGGGCCAGGCTCCAAGTAGGGGCACCACATTGACATTATAGGGCCAGGCTCATGGTAGGGACACCACATTGACATTATAGGGTCAGGCTCATGGTAGGGGCTCCACATTGACATTATAGGGTCAGGCTCCAAGTAGGGGCACCACATAGACATTATAGGATCAGGCTCCAAGTAGGGGCACCACATAGACATTATAGGGCCAGGCTTCAAGTTGGGGCACCACATAGACATTATAGGGTCAGGCTCAAGGGAGGGGACCACATTGACATTATAGGGTCAGGCTCATGGTAGGGACACCACACTGACATTATAGGGCCTTGTTATAGGGTCAGGCTCAAAGTAAGGGCACCACAGAGACGTTATAGGGACAGGCTCAAGGTTGGGGCACCACATAGACATTATAGGGCCGGGCTGTCTCTGAGGGGCACCACACTGACATTATAGGGCCAGGCTCAAGGGAGGGGCACCACACTGACATTATAGGGCCAGGCTCAAGGGAGGGGCACCACAGAGACATATGGAGTTTGCCAAACAATGCATCTTTTTTCTGGATACGAAAGATAAATAAGTCTAAATATCAGTGCGTAAGTAAGACAGTGCAGAAAAGAAACTTCTAAATGATATTAATTCTTATTGAAAGAAAACAAGTATGTTACAACATGGTTGTGCTGAAGTCTCATGCAGACAGATCAGCAACAGAAATATTTAAAACAATATTTGAGGATTGTATCATACTTCCGATACGACAGACCTAGAAACAATCAAACCAATATTACAACCAATGATCATAGGTGTCTGGTTCTCCTAAGGGACTGAGGGATGCAACTCTGTTAATAGTTGATTTGTTGATTCAAGATTCAACTGTTGTTGTTACAGGAGAAGGAGAAAGAATTGGAGATCAAGAACATCTATAGTAACCGTGTGATGCGTCCCCCCCACAAGCTGCCCGCCTCCTACGGGGGCACACCCATGGACACCCCTCCTCCACCACGTCGGAGAGTTCCCTCCGTCGAGGAGATGACCTCCAGGGAGAAGGCCCGAATGTTTGAAATGAAGCGGAGGGAAGAGGCGAAGAAGGTGGGTCAGGTGATGGGGATCGTTTCACTATGCGATCCTAATGTTACTGCCCTTAGCTGTGTTAAATGGTGACTATGCTTGTCATAAGAAGCGACTAATGGGACCAGGTGGTCAGGCTTGCTGACTTAGTTGATGCATGTCATTGTATCCCAATTGCGTGGATCGATGCTCATGATGTCAATCACTGGATTGTCTGGTCAAGACTTGATTATTTACAGACCGCCATCATATAGCTGGAATATTGTTGAGTGCGATGTTAAACAACAAACAAAACTGTGCTAATTATATAATTTCCAACAGTTGTAGTGCTGTGTTTGCTTTGTGAAATCAGTCCCAGGTGTCAGGACAATTAGGAGATAAATGTGCTGTGGTTTCAATGTAGAGTCCTGTTGCCTGGTGGTTGGATGAAGTGTGGAAAGAAGATGTAGAGTGAGGCTTCCAATGTTTAGTCTAGTAATTTCAAATCTCAAGGTAACATAGCCTTGAAGACTCAGTATGTTTATCTCCATTCTATTATGACCAATTTATGATAAGATAAAATGTAGGGGCAGTGCAGGCAATGTCAGTAAGAACATTCCTTGGAAATGGGAAGGCTCTCCCAGAGTGCTGGAAGGTAGTCCAGTTGGCCATTGGTTTTGCTGGACACAAAGAGCATTAGGATATAGTCATGATTTTTGTCAACTTTGATAGTAGACGTTTTTCAATATTTCTACTAAATCTCTTGAAGATTTTGGATGATAATCAATAAATGTCCAAGAAAATCAACCAATCTGAAACCACGTTTGCTTTTTCAAATTTAACAACTGAGTAGAAATATTGATGATTTAGTCTTTAACATTAGTCAGTCACCAGCATTAGACTGAACATGTATCTATTGGTTGGAATTGGTCCCCAACACTTGCTGGTCGAAGAAATGACTTTATTGATTTGGTTGTCGGGCTTCTTTTTTCTCCTGATTTTGTGGATCATTGCTCAATACAATAATCACTGGATTGTTTTGACTCGATTATTTACAAGCTGCTTTCATATAGCTGCAATATTTCTTAGTGGGGCATTAAACCACAAAAACACACATTGCATGTGCAAATTTTATTAGTCTGCGCATGTGCAATGATTATTGTGAATAATATCAAATCTGTGATGTAGAGATAGTGTTATGTAACGAATAGTTCTCATTGACATTGTTGGTGTTTCAGAACAAACCTAAACCTAAGCCGAAGCAGGATGTGTTTGAGAACCGCTGGAACACGGAAGATGAGGAGAGGGATCGACTAGCCATGGAGGAGAAGGAGAGGCGAGACCTGGAGAACAAGTACCTGCAGGCCAGGGAGGAAGAGGAGAGGAAGAGTGAGTGGGAGAGAGAGTTGGAGATGAAGCGGGTGCAGGACCGAAAGCGGGATCAGGAACAGGAGGACCTGCGTAGAGAACGTGAGCGCATGAAGAGAGAGTCAGAAGAACTGCAGAGACGGGAGGAGAACAAGAGAAGAGAACAGCGGGAGAGGGAGGAAAGAGAGAGGGAAGACCGAGACCGCCAAGCGAGAGATGAAAGGGACAGAATCGAGAGAGAAAATAGACTTAGGCAAGAGCTTGAAGAGAGAGAACAAGAAAGGGAGCGTCAGGCCAAAGCAGAGCGTGAAAGACTGGACAATGATCCCAGTGTGTTGGAGGAACGTAGGAGAAAGGAACTGCTTTTAGCCAGGTTGAAGGCCATAGACGATGGGTCAAAGGAAAATGTGAGTCCGGTTAATCGCTCTCCCTATGGGGATGATAGCTCAACCACTTCAAGTAAAAAGAGTTACTCGTTTTCCAAGCCTACCAAGAATTTACATAATGGTAAGCCTGCATATGAGGAAGTGAGCGTTCCATACATCGACAGGAGGAAACATCAGCTGGCCCAGGAGGAGGATGCAGCTGGGTACAACCCATCCTTCACCAGGAGGTCCAGCTCCACTATGAAGGGGGGTGTCAACCAATCTCCCTCAAGGAAACCCAACAAAAAAACGGCCTTAATGGATGAACTGTTTGGAAATCAGAGTGGAACCAATAGAAATGATGACGACATGCTTTTCCAAACCTCGGACTCGAGGAAACAGACTACTAAGCCTTCGTCTGGTTTCCCTTGGGATGAAGACAGTAAACATTCGACCACGGCATCCCGGCCGCGAGAGAACTCGAGCACGTTGTTTGGAGGTGGTGCTGCTCTTGTGGAGGATGACGGACCCTCAGATAAATCAAAACTGTTACCACGGCGACAGAGACACCACTCCAGCACTTTCAGTTCCAAACCAGCAGTGACCGCTGTTGACACGTTTGAGGATGATATAGAGGAAGTCATGTTGTAGGCAGGTTGTGTACAGTGCCCCGACTACAGTGCCTCATCCAGGAACCTTCATTACAACATCGGCATGATCACATTACTTCAGAGATACTATTTTAATACAAGCATCTATAGCATAGCAATCACCTTCAGTTTTCACATTTCACTCAGCATCAGTCACGACCTCTACTCCTGTGTTAGTGCAACACCACAACCGAAGTGGTGGATAATTGTGTCATACGTCTGCACAAAGCATTTTTCTACATTTATGGGTCTGTTGTCATGTTGCGCTGGTCACTCTTGGAATATCTCACCACATGGACTGCTTCCTTGACTATCGTGTGGCGAATTATCTGTTTTACACTGTGTGTGGAATGAAAGGTTCCATCAATGCTACTCTTCCAGCTGATGGGACCCAGGTTTTCAATGTCATACAATCATGTTGTGTTTGTTGTGTGAATTGTGGAAAATATGTAATCACACAGACAACATCTCTAGTGTTTGCTTCACAAGATTGAAGTACATGTATTCATAAAGTTGAAAATAGTATGATTAATAACTTGATACACAAAGAATGTATGACCCATTTTTTTCTTTTAAAAGCAACTACCCTGGAACAATAATTTGTTTTGAGATTGTTGGAGATATGTTAAATGCTTGAGCTTGTCTACGACTGGTTAACTTGCCTCTAGACACTCCACACCAAAGACCAAAGACTTCAGGTGGTTATTGTTATGGCTGACAGTTTTCTATCCATCATCGTGTTTCACTTTTATATTTTGAAAATATATTCAATCTGTTAAAGAAATGTTTGTTTTTAGATCCCCAGTTAAATGTTATGATGAATGGCCCTATTCCCAAGCAGTCTCAGCACGGCAATTCCCATACTGAAACACTGATGTTTGATCATAGATTTACCTGCACATTCTCAGAGGACACTGGCCACAAGTTCTGAAGCAAATGTTGGTAGGAAAGAATTTAAAAAATCCAAATTCATGTTGTACAAGTATTTAATACTTTATGCCACAAAATTTCATCAAATAACTTGTTATAACATCCCTGTGTTCTTGGGACATAAGACCAGCAAACAAAATCCAAGGGTACGTAGTTTGAAATTCTTGATAAAGGATGGTCACAGTGTTAGGGTTTGCTTGAGGAATAGGGCCCTGTGTGGGTTCGTGTTCCTGTGTAGATGGGTGCAGACTGTGGAAGATGCTGTGATATTATGGTACACGAGTACAATGACAGGTGTTGTCTTGGCAGGAATTAGGCTGTGATACAATGTGCCTGCAGAGCTTCATTTCTTGTTTACAAAGTTGAACAGTAGCATTGTGTCCAAAAATACATACCGTATTCGACCCAATAAGCGCCCATGTCCCAATAAGCGCCCCCCTCCCTTTTCCCGGATGCCCAAGTAAGATTTACTCACCTGTTTTTTACATTCGGTCAAGAATCTTTTGTAGTCGGTTAATGAAGAGATGTTCACCAGTAAAACGTAAGTAACAGTTTATCTCTAGCCCCCCAGCAACAGAAGAATAACGATAGGCTTACTGATGAATTTATGCCAATTTGACTCTGAATTGGTCCCAATAAGCGCCCACCCCTTCTGTCTTTATTTTAAGCGCCCAGGGCGCTTATTGGGTCGAATACGGTATTCAAGAACAAAATAGTTCTACGAAGGCAAGACCACTGTACATTCTTAATTTACGACTTTTCTTTGTCATTGTGTCGAAAGGCATGGGGCAAAATAAGGCTTACGAAAAATATTTTCAGGGTTATTTGAGGTTTGAAGCATCAGTCTCTGGTTTGTAATGTGTATTTGTCGAGACAAATTATCTCATATCTATAGCATCATTTGTCCTGATGTGTGAATTTGTGAAAAAGTGTTTTTATTGCCTACTGTAGTTGAGATTGTTGGGTTCCGTCCATGGAAAGAGACTTTTGATGTCCTAAATGTTTGTTATGTATATGAATTGTTACAGTGTTGTGTAGAGACAGTTTGTTAATGCTTGTGCCATACTGGTGAACAATCAATTTCAAAGTTTCATATGCAATGTTTATTGTGTAAATCACACAACTAAACTATATATCAAAGGAATGGGCATAGCTAGGACATGTAGCTAGGACAGTAGGCTGACCAAGGTTTGTGCTGCAAGTTGACCCAGTAGGCTTGTAGGCTGACCAAGACGTGTGCTGCGAGTTAATCCAGTAGGCTGGTAGGCTGACCAAGGCTTGTGCTGTGAGTTAATCAAGTAGGCTGGTAGGCTGACCAAGGCTTGTGCTGTGAGTTGACCCAGTAGGCTGGTAGTCTGACCAAGGCTTGTGCTGCGAGTTGACCCAGTAGGCTGATAGGCTGACCAAGGCTTGTGCTGCGAGTTGACCCAGTAGGCTGACCAAGGCTTGTGCTGTGAGTTGACCCAGTAGGCTGGTAGTCTGACCAAGGCTTGTGCTGCGAGTTGACCCAGTAGGCTGACCAAGGCGTGTGCTGCGAGTTAATCCAGTAGGCTGGTAGGCTGACCAAGGTGTGTGCTGCGAATTGACCCAGTAGGCTGACCAAGGCTTGTGCTGTGAGTTGACCCAGTAGGCTGGTAGGCTGGTAGGCTGACCAAGGTGTGTGCTGCAAGTTAATCCAGTAGGCAGGTAGGCTGACCAAGGCTTGTGCTGCGAGTTAATCCAGTAGGCTGGTAGGCTGACCAAGGCGTGTGCTGTGAGTTGACCCAGTAGGCTGGTAGGCTGACCAAGGCTTGTGCTGTGAGTTAATCCAGTAGGCTGGTAGGCTGACCAAGGCTTGTGCTGTGAGTTAATTCAGTAGGCTGGTAGGCTGACCAAGGCTTGTGCTGCGAGTATTTCCGATGCTACAAACTTGAGAACTACCTCAAACTCAGCAGACACATGCCACCCTGTAGTTTGACCTTCAACCTCCCTACTAGTCTCTCTAGCAGATGATCACAAACCTGTAGAAAATCATGTGGTATGACAATTATTGGTGCAAATTACATAATACTTGAAGGGTCTTTATTTTCTAATAGATATGTGTATATATAGTTGTATATGAAGGCTATTTTCATATTAAAAGATTGATGAGTACAATGAGTAGTACTTTGAAATGTGAGAGATGTGTTTGACGACTGGGGATGGGGTATGATGACCTTCACCCTGCTTGGTACACATGACCTTCACCCAGCTTGGTACACAAGACTACAGTCACTCTACTGGACACTTGGTTTAGTAATTTGTCTCTCACTGGTTTACCTATATCATTTGTACAATATTTCCTGAAAAGAAGGCCACCGTATGATCTTGCTGCAATTATGCCGCAGTGGAGCATTGGTCTGAAGTGGCGTGACTGGTAACTACAGCAACTATAGCATAACACAAATATATCCTACAAATATGTCAGAACATAACCCTATCCTACTACTGTACTAGTAAGATATATTGTGTTGCTATGTTGTGTTATGTCATATCACAGATATTCTAATAGTAGAAATTCAACTCCTACATGTTTTGGATCTTACCGTTAATATGCAATTCAAACTTTTCGTGGATTTTTTTCGAAGTGAGTTCACATTTAACGGTAAATAACAAACCTAGCGTTTGCCACAAGACAGGGTTGTCATGGAAATGACATCGGGAACAATTGTCTGTTGTTTTGGTTCCACTATTTTCCAGCGATATGGCTGTTGATGTAGAAAATATTTATGTGTGTCAGAGTTAGTGTGAGTGATGCGTAGTCAGGCCAATTTATTGATCTCATTCTGCAGCTATCATCCTGGTTGTGAATGTGTCGCTGAATATGTTAGCGTGGTGCTTCTGTCCGTGATAATGTAAACGGCATCCCTAATTCCTGGGGATGCCTTCAATGAAACTGCACTTATTGTGATAAAACATTTTTACCTTTTTTCAAATACAGACATGAATTATATATTTCATAAGCATAGCAATACACAGTGGTTTTAATCATATTTTATCAATAACAAGTGGTATGAGATTTTATGAAGATATTATACAACAAAATGGCACAGTCAGTTAATATATTATATTTTTAATCATATTTTAAACCTGGGATGAATATATACTGGTAGTATTTTAGCACACTACTGTCACTGTGTGTACAGTTTGTTGTTGTATATGGAAGGTCTGACTGGTGCATATATCTTGTAACTTTCTAGTAGAGAGCATGGGTCTTCATATAGCCACACTGATAACACAACGCAAGCTTAGTTGTCATGGTTACCTTGATTCAAATATGTAAGTATCAGTATCCTATACACAGAAGGGAGGTAACTGATGTAGCCTTGTCCTGAATCAAGTTTGTAAGAATATCGGAGAACATAAAGATCGTTTTGTCATATATTAGGAAACACATGCACCTTGTCTAAGGAAACTTGTTCTGGCAAACTTTTAGAATGTAAGCATTTCGTATATTAAGGCCAGATATTTAAATATATTTATTGTGTGTGATTCAGCCAAATTTCACTCACTATTTTAAAATACTGACTTTAATTGTAAGTATACATATTTTGAACATCTTATATGTATTTTTGTAATACGTTTTATTTTCAATAAGTATTTTTTAGGAAATAAACATCAAGTCAAATATTTTTTATTTTACCAACACAATCTGTAAAATAACCATAAAATTGGCCTGGTCCACATTGTCTGGTATTGGAAGTTAGTTTCTGTTCCTATGTGATTACCTTCGTGTTTGTTGTGTGACTGGTACATCGGGTGTGAGAGGAATGACTGCTCTATCTATCACTGTATCTTCCAGGCATGTCATGGCTGATCTACACTCTGTAATAAACATTTACTTATCTATTTACACCTTGTGTTTGTTTGAGAACTGTCAAAGATCAATGCTGTCTTCTTATGTTTATCGGGGGCACAGGTGGCCCAGTCGTCTAAGGCGCAGAGTTGCGTCCCTTGGGCACGCCAGAAACCTATGATTGTTGGTTCGAATCCCGGTTAGCCCCAATTATGTTTCTAGGTTTGTCAGCACCATACCCGTGCTCGTGGGTTTCACCGAAGTGGTAAACATCTGAGACCTGCATCACTTCGGGCTTTCCTCCCACATTAAGCTGACACGCCTTGATATAACTGGAATACTGTTAAAAGCGGTGTTAAACCCAATTCACTCTCTCTGATGTTTATCATGACATGCATTGCTTGGATCACCTATTGGATTAGAGATAACTCATCACAAAGTCATTGGGAGAAATCTAAGCTAAAAGACACAGTTCATACTTTTCTTTTCTGTTTTATCAAGTTGTGATTCAAATTTGAACAATTTTTGTTCTCAAATTATCAACAGTTATGCCGATCTTTTTTGAGAAGTGCTATGTACTTATGTTATGTAATGGGTTTTCTTACATACCTGTGGGTGAGAAACCCATTTGAGAGAACTTGTCGAATTCTAGGTCAGTGAATGGCTCTACTCCATGGTGATGACCGTAGGTCAAATTATGACAGACAACTTTCCTGATAAGTTACACATGCTTTGGTGTAATTCACCAACCTCTGTGTTGAAATCTTATGGTTTTAGAGTGTTAATAAGTTCTCTGGTCTTGTCTAATTTGCATTATCATCATCGCTTTGATAATTCACAGATATGGCAGGCATTTTTTTTGGTGGAGGGTCAAACGAGGTATGGGTAGTCAGCAGTAGGCCGGATGACGTCGTAAATGGCTTGTGTTATGTATTAATGCACCACTGTCCATCGTTTCGAAGCTAAAGTGGTACAATTATAGGTGTGTAAGAAACAAATTACTGCACTCGTGTCTGTCAATTACCATTTATCTTAACTCGTTTCAAATGGTGTCTAACGTGCTTTCGCTCGTTAGATACCTTTCTGAATAATTGTGACGTACACTGTATCTGACTGACACTTGTGTAATAATCTCTGTATATTTGATTCTGAAATGTATAATCAGGATCGTTTAAGCATCATTACTCCAGAAGCGTTGAACAGACAAAGATAGATAATACAACAGACTGTTGATGGGTATAAAAATATTTATTTTCAAGTATTTATATACATTTCAAATAATGTAAAATGGAACTTAGTAAAAGTAGGCAATCTTTCTCTCCAAGTTGATCTGATGCTAGACAGGTTCTCACAGTCCGATATACTGATGGTCACACGTGCCTTCATCACAGTCCACGAACATCACCATGGACAGTTGGCGGACTATATTTCAATACAATGTCCATGATGTACACACGGAAATATACTACTAACCAGGTATTCTTGAATATAAAATCTACCTGTAGATAACATTGAAACTAGCAATGTTTAGATTGCACACATTTATTAAAGCACATGGACCTGTTCCAACTCTTATCTGCAAATTTATATCATAGTTTTCTGTGAACATTCATAAAGCTTAATGTCTTTAATAATATATGAATAAGGCCAGACCAATTTTTTCCCCTAGCAATACAAATCTGCCTTACTGATTTTTCCCTGATTTAAAAAAAGAAAAGAAAAATTATATATCTTTAAAATGTGCCGACAGCACTTAAATATTGATCAATTTCTCAATAGAAGGGAAGCAACTCTTCCGCAATTGTTTCTTGCCAACAGCAGAAGTGTAAATAAATTCATTGGATAACTGCGGTGTCTCTGCCAGTGTAATCACTTCCTTTTTGATTTAAGAAAATGGTATCTTGTTGAGGCCAGTTGTAGTTTGTGAATTTGTTTTTGTTGACATTTCTCGTATGGGTTTTCATAATGTCGACAAAGGGCCACAGCCCAATGATCACAAAACAAAACATCTTTCTATTAACAAAATAGCTGAAATGAAGCTTACAGACACAGTTGGTGATTCGTCATCGAATGTCATGGCCACTTTCCCTGCTTGGTCCCCTCTCCTAGGCTTAAAAAATAAAAGAACTGGTGCGGGCGGGCTGGTGGGCGGTGTCTTCTTTTTTGTTGTTGTTCAAACCAGTATGTAACCAATAAACAGTTGTGTACAATCCACCTGGGGAAGGGCCTCCCAACATAAATGTATTCCTTGATGAGTAAAATACTGGAATACATGTTGGACTTGTAATATTTAAGGATTTTTAATACATTTTCTTAAAAAATTTAAATAAAAACGAAACTTGCGGCAAACTTTATGACGGTGCTGGCGCTGCCTGAGAACCAAGACTATTTTTTTTTAGCCCTACATACAGCCAATTGGGTCCGAAAAATCTGTCATACAATAATAAACATCAAAATCTGATTCTCTTGTTGCAATTATTAATGCTAATCATTAAAAGATAAATTCTCTCTGTCTCAACTGACAGTACTAGAACTAGACACAAGTATTGGTTTTGTGATAGTGATGAAATATGTCCTATCTACAAGCACCAAGCTTCCGGCCAGGCCAAAAGTAAACAGTTTTCAGACAAGAGCACTTCTGTACAATTATGATATTGCATTCATAGCACCAGAAAATTATATAAAAGAACCTCAGTTGACCATAAACACTCTTGACACACAAGAAGTTTTAGAAATTGTTATACACATCCCCTATCTATCCAAAAAAGAGCATGTGTTTTCGAACAATAAACAACCACAAGTTGGTATCACCTGTCACGTCCATACACACAGCATACATACAGTATACATACAGTATACACACAGCCCAGCCAGACAGTACTGACTGACTGACAACTTATTCTGTTGCAAGATGGTACGGTACCTAGCAGTTCCTTGATCCCTGGTAACAACCTGATGTGGCTTAGACATGTTAGAGTTGCTCATCTTCCCAAGGCAAAGGAGTCAACTGACTATAAAAGTCCAGTTTCCACCCTTGCTGAACTTGGCTGGAATTTCTGGGCTCGATTGTAGCGTCACCAGTGGCTATTATGAGTCATGTCCCTTCTATGTCCCTCCTACTGACCAATCAGATTCCACCTCTCATATCACTTGCATTTGCTTCAAACAAAATGGTGGTGCCCAGTCAAGACGTTCTGATTGATAAATCAAAATCTATATTGTAATTAAAAGTGTCTTACTTCACGAAGCTCATCAAATTACGTGAGCACCTTGATTAAAAACATGTAAAGATTTGGGAAATATCCTGTTGATGCCGAGCTGGCAATTGACTAAAATCTGCATGGCAGTTTACGAACCCGATGTCGATTTTGTTCCACGATATCGATTGGACTACGCATAGACTCATTAGTCCAGCCAAAACATAACTCCATAATTCCAGCCTTGTTTGGCAAGGTTGGAAATTGGACTTATAAAGTCAGTGAACTCCCTTGCCTCAGGAAGATGAGAGTCGTTGGACCTGTGGAAGGATTTCCTGAAATCTAATACACTGTCCTTTGCTTCCCATCACCAATCACCATAAACTTCTCCAAGTGTTGCCTCTGTCATTGAGATCATGATTCAAAGTAGGTGATTTGCAACTCAGGTCATATATTTTGTATTGCATCTTACAACCCAGATGAACAGTGTTACAACAAACAATTAAATTTTGATGCAGCAACTGTTGTACCACAATATATATCCCATCACAACCCTCCTGTATCACTGCATGATACCTCTGCCTGTAGGCCGGACGCACCCACCATGGGAGAGATGGTGTCAGGTGAACCTTCTAACCAGCCACTCAACATTCCAAATTCACGGTAGGAGTGAGTGAAGCATTCCAACCAGGATATCTGATTTCTGTATCTCCAAAATGAACACAAATACGCCCGTTATGTTGTTGTGGATATTTTATACACTCTGTTGTTAATGATCACATTACATCTACACCCAAGAGGGAGTACCATCAAACTCTGTGTAGGTTTTCTGAAGATCGGAATTTCCGAAGGTCGAAAAGAAATTTAGCAGAATCTTCCACAAAGCTGACATCTGATTAGCTTAAGAACCCTCACATCCTTCATTTTGATTTACTAAGGGTTCATCTGATGCCACCTCCTAATAAGGGTTTATCAGATCTTCACACACAGAGGTATCTTTAATGTCCTTGACCTTCTTGCTTTACTCATGGCACACAGACCTAATGAATTTCATACAACACAACCACCATCAAGTTGAGGCTGTGTAAAATAACAGAACATGACATCTGTTTTCAAACAAAAGAGAACAGCTGATCTACATTCTCTTGAAACACTTAAGGGCAACACAGAAAACCACTTGTCTTGTATCAGTTTGGTCCCTCTCTACTGTAAACTTGGACCCACACAGCTACTAAAGCAGATACAAAACTAACAAACAAACAAACTCTGAACAGCTATTAGTCAAAAGTACTATCATTAAGTGAAATGTCATTCTGACAGTGACAGCCACTATTGCACAGCCCGCAGCTAAATGCAGTCAATCTGTTCCCTCATCACCACCACAGGGCACTCTGATGGACATCAGTAACCTTGTGAGGGAGTTTGTCCCTGCAGTTGGTCACATGGTGAATCACTGTGTCTTGTTGGTAGGAATATTGGTTCTGTGGTTGGTGTCCAGGCTCCTCACACCCCAATCAGTCTCCGAGCTCGGAACACCACTGTGCTACAGACCAACGCCCAGCAGGCTATGCCAACTCCACCTGGAAACACGAAACATGAAAGCTGCACTCAATGTATCAAACAAGTCAGCGAACCTGACCACCCGATCCTGTTAGTCGCCTCTTACGACAAGCAAAGTCGCCTTTTAAGGCAAGCATGGGTTGCTGAAGACCTATCCTACCTTGGATCTTCACGGGTCTACACTACATTATGATATGAGGTTAATCAATAGCAATGCTGCAAAGGAATCTTGTTATGGTACAACACTTGGTAGTGTGTTTTTTGTTATCCAAATATAATAAAACCAATCATAATTATTAGGGCTGCAACAAATACACTATGAGGCGAATACGATTTGTATCACAATTAAAGAGTAACGAATACGAATATCAATTCACGAATACAATAACAAGTCAGCAGTTGATGTATTATTTGTTACATTCAGTGAAACATTAACAACATAAATTATTTGACATTGTTTGTTAATCATTAATATATTAAACATTTATATGCTGCACTTAACCAGGTACTAGAATCTGCTCAAAAGCGACAATGACCAGTGACCACAATACTGTCAAATTAAATATTATCAGAGTGCTGTCTTTGAAAGAAATCTATGCATATCATATGATATGTTTTAAGGATATATTTAGGTACAGAGTATGTAAATACACATGATGGCATATTCATAAATATTCAATTCTGGTGGCCATGTATAACAAATTCAATTCATGAATGGATACTGTTCGATTCACCGAATACGCAAGTGAATCGTAACAGCCCTAATAATTATATTCCTCCTTATCAATCAAAGCAATCTCATGGCACCATACAATTAATACCATGGTGAATGGATCAGTGTGCACTCAAATAACATTCTCAACTCACTGGGAAGTATTCAACCATGGCTGCCTGTTAGGCTATAAGGTTTGCATGTATATAATCATCTCTTCCTAACGGGTACCCATATACAGATGGGTGAACGGAGGACAATTGCAGACAAATAGAAACTCAGGAGTCACGATTGTTGGTCAATCACCTGACCACCAACTCTTTATAAACGTTACAGAATTTCCCCTTACGCAGTGCACAGGACCATGTACCACCACATGAAGTAGTGTGGGATCAAGTAGTGTTGGATCAAGTAGTGAATCAGTGCAACATGACAAGTAGCTCACCTCAACTAACATCTAGTCTTGGAAATGAACATATCGTACAGAAAAAAACAGTTGTTCACTTATCTTAATAAAAATATAATAAAAGGGAGCCCAGTGACTCTCTTCATTTTCAGACACTGCAGTAATCTAGACTTGCCAAACATTATAGACTTGCATGGGCTGTATCTGATATATATTTGTATCAGGGTCTGTAAGACAGACTAGTAGCTCACCTAACTTGTGGAATTTTTTCAATATGAGGGAACAAAATATAACTGATGGTTCAGTAAGGTCCTTCATGCCTTCACCTGGTATATGTAGTAATACCAAGCAATTCCCATGTGGCTGCCATGTTGAAAATCAGACTGGAAGTCTGTGAGTATTTGTGGGGCACAATGCGAAGGTTCCCCACCATATGTATGATAATCCTTGTGGTTTCAGAGGTGTTGATTTATGAGTGAGTGAGTGAGTGAGTGAGTGAGTGAGTGAGTGAGTGAGTGAGTGAGTGAGTGAGTGAGTGAGTGAGTGAGTGAGTGAGTGAGTGAGTGAGTGAGTGAGTGAGTGAGTGATTTATGCTTTCAGCCATATCGTGACGAGAAATTATACATTTTTAATACATATATTTTTGCTAAATTAAAACCTGTCATCGAAGGACAGTAAAACCACTAGAATATCACAGATTAATATGTAAAACTAGTCAACAACTATAAAAAGATATCACTATAAATTACGGCACAATATAAAAAAGGGCTATAGATCGCCAGCAGCTGAAGGTAGTTTACCATGCTAGGGTCCATGGGGACTAACAGTACTTTTGCTACCTGCATGGACCCCAGCCAGATTTACATCATCCCCTCTGCTGTTGGCGATTAATGACAAATTTAGCCAGAGTAAACGAACATATATGCTACGATTAAAAAAGGGCAGAAAATAAACATACTTTGAAAGACGTGGTCTTACATACCCTCTCTGGTTGATATGTATGAAGGATGGACAGACAACAGTAAAACACCCCATAACAAAAGAAGATGTAAATCTTTAGTTTAAACAAATGAGTGAGCCTCAAACCTGGAACTCCGGTGGGGAAGGCAACAATTCGACTGAAGGGGAAGAAATATGAGGACGGCAGCTGGAGTAAAGGCTCATTTCGGTACGTCAGCACCAGACTCAACATTATCAGGGCCTGAAACATACATATCAAAAACATATATATTATACTGACAATATAGCCTGGGCCGGAACATGCTAAAAGGCATGGACAGTTCTCTATAAAACATACATATGATTGAGAACAACATTCAGAGAGTGGCCGACAATTTCAGGATCCCCATAAGCCTAGTCTAAATCATGGAGTGAAAACAGTGACATTACACATCAAATTAGGCTAATGATACAATAAGAAAGGAATTGTACTTGACTGTTTGGCAAGACCTGTGAAATATTGGTTCTTGGACATATGGGGAAAGCCTGCATACCATATTCGACGTAATAAGCGCCCCGCTCCGATGAGCGCCCACAGCGATATTTGCTAATATATTGGCTAGTGAACAATCCCAATTAGCACCCCATCCGATTGATCGATGCACACAAGACTTATTTATTTGCTTATACATAGTATAATACGCACTCGTGTGTTATATGCACCCTTAATTATGGGCAATTAAATTCTGGAAAAATATATCGGTCGTATATAAACATTTTAGGCTGTCAGCATAAACCACGAAATTTACGATCTTTCAACATGTTCAATTGGGTTTTTCACCATATAATATTCTAATAAGAGTCAGCCCACTATTTCTAATTTTGAGAGCACCCTGGGCGCTTATTACGTCGAATACGGTAAATCTTTTTCTGAACAAATATCAGTCTTTGGCAAAAATGTATACTAGCCCATGAATTGTTTACTCACATGAACAACATGGATTGCAATCTTGATGCCCACTTTCAGCATCGTCAAACGCTGGGATCTTGAGCTTCCTGAAGGAGTCAGATGATGGGATAATGTCACAACTTTTCAATAAGCCTAGTTGTCCATCAATTAATATGGTATAATGGATTCATTATGGCTGTAATATTATAAAAGATATTGCCTCTCAAATTTAGAACAGCTCATGTTTAAGTTGAACAATAACAGCCATAACTTAGAAGTTTTAACTCACAATCATTTAAGAGTTGTTGATTTTGGATATTTAAGCACTGTAGCATCATTTCCTAATACATGTTATATGTGTTAAATCAAAATACGTGAAAGGTACAACCATACTCTACATGCTGTATGCATCTAGAGCTCGAGATAAGCTGCGTATTTGCGTAAAATATGCATTAAAAAAACTGAAATACCCAGAAAATTCAAATCCTAAAGTCTAAACACTGTAAATACGCTATTGAAATAAAACTAATGCATATATTCAACTGTTAGATAAACAATTGCAAATATTACAACTGCTACCGCTAGATAAACTGATGGTGTATCAGCAGATTGCGAAAGACACTTTAGCGAAAGTTACATTCGGAAAAGCACAGTCGATGATTGGTGTAAACAAATAAATGTTGCCCCTTTCTCACAATGGTAGGTTTTGAAAACAAAAATGGCTTCCCGGAGAGGAAGCTGCAAGCAGACGCAGACGGGTATACTCCAGTAACTATACATTTACTATTAAATTATTTACAGGGATTGTTACAAAACAGGTCATAATACCCCAATGTCAAGAAACAGGCGGGTAAAAAAATTGAATACCTTCTAAAAATTGTGGATACCCTTTCAAAATCAAACCCCTGGGTAAAATACCCAAATAACCAAAAGCTTATCTCGAGCTCTGTGCATATACACACAACTACTGTAATATTGTAGTACCTAGCTGCTTAAGCTGCCCCATGATCTTGTCAATCTTGCGCTGTATCTTCATGTAACGTGCAAACTCATCGGCCATATTCACAGACTCTTGCTCAGACTTGAGATCTCTGACTTGTGACCTCAGATCTAGTTCCTCATTGGTCAACCTAAACACACTTTTCCCAATCTACAACACAACAAAAAAAGGTTCTGATTGACACCTATAAACATTTATAACATATTCTAAAAAACAAACAGCTCATACAATGAAGTTCAAACATTATCTTGTAGATGAAGTTAGATACAGCAAAGTGTTGAATACTGGCTCCATCTGTTAACCACGCATAACTAAACCAGGCTTGGAAAAAGGTCTAATTCATCTGATATGTTATGATGGTGAACTAAAAGATATTGATACAAAACATATTTTTTTCAAGAAAGAAAAAATATTCATCTTTATTTTGGAAGACTGTAACCATGTTTCTGTTTCACAGGGCTTATTTCAATGTCCTTGTTTTTTCAAATAGTGAAACTTCTTCCCATTTCTCTACTTAACAATGAAACATAAATAAACAAAATGAACACTGTCTGACTACCATGTCTACAGTATATTCAATATTATTAAATAGTGGTGGTTATTGAATCATCATTACAATACATACTTTACTTTACATAAATTGAGTGTGTAGGTGCAAATGATCTCTACTACTTCATTCTGCGACTTTATCTATGTCATTGGCAAGAAAAAGAAGAACATTTAACTGGTTGACTCAAAACGCTTTTGCACAGACTTCAGCATGTTGAGTATTCCAATTCCTTGGTCTCTTCGGTTCAGTCACAATGAGATACAAGTGAAATGTGATCTTGTTTGATACGAAATATATCTATGATAGAAGAATTATTTATTTATCAACAATATATAATTATAATATACTAGATGCGGTAGTCTTCTTTTTCTTGTCTGTGTGACCGAAAACCGAACAGTTGAATCGTGTGACTTGTTGACCAAACTGACTGCAATGTTTCTTCTCCAACAACATCTTTCAAGAACAGAACATTCATAAATGCTTTCAGAGACAACTTACCAAACCTGCGATAATATGTGAATATTTCGGCAAAATAGTAAACAGAATCACAAAGAATAAAATCAGGATCATCAAAAACATCTTGTTTTCGGTTAGAACCTTCCTCGCTGCATGTAGCAACCGTATACTCCCGAGCTCTTCCGACTGTCCGCATACGGAACAACTCTTGCAATACTTGCCTTGCAGACCGTTAACATTTTTCTGGAGAAGCACCTTCCCACGCGCGGCATTCGGGTTTTTTTCAGGTTTAAGATGTGGTTACGTACATCTTTTCCTCAATCGGATAGATCTATTTTGCCTGCATTCCTGTCTTTTTGTGATCATTATTTCTAGGGTAGGTGCCGTAATTACTTATTAGTGTTGTGTGTCAATCGGCGAAACTGTATCTCATTATCTATGTATTTAAATAATCATCGTTACAGCGAGATAAACTGAAATCATATAATTTGAGTTAACAGACATACAACGTCGGTTTATTATGAAATCAATCGAGCTAGGACAGCCAACTGGGCTAAATCTATAGAAATATGCTCCATGTCCAAATTAACGCTATGTGTGATCCTTGGGCATTGTCTAAAGTTTACTAAGGATCAAGTATTGATAAAAAAAAATCATCAAACAAGTAAAGATTGAAACATCCCGGTACACAATGATTGGGTAACCCCTATAAGACCTCAATACGTGGTGCTTGGTTTGTTTGTTGTTCAACTCCACACTCAGCAATATTCCAGCTATATGACGTCAGTCTGTAAATAACCGAGTCTGGACAAGACAATCCAGTAATTGATGATATGAGCATTGATCCACACAATTGGGATACAATGACATTCATCAACCAAGTCAGCGAGCCTGACCACCCGATCCCGTTCGTCGCTTCTTACGACGATCATTTCATGATGAACGGGCAGAGGCATGCAGTCACGGGCACGATGTGCACGAGGTGCTTGAAAACCTGTTTGGATGTATCGTGACAGAATTGTTGCACACCAGAGAGCACGACAACACGTGCTACGAAGTACTGTAACAACTGGGTGCACTTATGTCCTCTCAGCGTTAAGGACGTCGTTTGACGACCGAAGAATTAAGCAGATGCTAAGGCATGCTTGAAACCGGGTCAACACAACGCCACTTTGCAAAAGTCTTTGGTGTCAACCAAAGTGTGATCAGCAGGGCATGGGGTCGATACCAGTCGTTGGTCGACGGGGTTTCTTCCGATTCCAGCAAGACGTAAACACTTCGTTACTGCCACCACACTCAGATATGACCCGCGGAACGCCATTGGCGTTAACGTTTCTACTCAGACAGTGCGTAATCGTCTTCGTGACGCTTTTCTCCGGTCACGGAGAGCATGCTTTCGCATGCCACTGACCTGACATCACAGGCAGGCACGGTTGGATTGGGCTGAATATCATGACAGACCAGGACCCTGCTCCAGTACTTTTTAACTGATGCATCGAGAAACAGTCTAGACTTCACGGGTAATCGTGTTCGAGTGTGGCGTAGATTTCAGGATACCAACGTAGCAAACTTGACCGTTATGCATGGAGGGGGCTCAATCATGATTTGCGGTGGGATCAATAGAGCTGGAAGAACCGATCTCCATTGTTCTACAGCGGGGCACGACGACAGGTATGCGCTACAGGGATGACATTCTTGATGTGTACGCGAGACCATATATATGCTAGGGCTGCAACGATACACCTAGGTCACGATACGATATGTATCTCGATACTTACATCACGATTCGATACGTATCTCGATACGCTACGATACACATAGTGACAAGAGAAGACAAGAGATAAATGAATTAAACTTAGTTTATTAAAATGAAAAATGAAATGAAAGTGATGAATGTTCATGAGTCATAAAATATATACTGTAATGAGTATTTTAACTTAATGAATCATCTGCCATTTCCATGTAATGGCTAGCAAACACAAAAGTAACAGTCTTACATTTTTGTGAGTTGTGACTAGATGGTAGATTCTAGGAGTAAATACTAAATGTACCAGTGTCCAGTAACTAATGATTTGCCATTTTCGTGAATAAAGACAAAAAAACAATTAAAAACAATTATAGCAACAGCCATGTTATACACCATTTGAAAGGTCTAATCCTAGTGTTTATAAATATGAAAGTTATGCTTATCACATTATTTAAATAATGCATTTACAACTTAATTAAGTTCGTTGTAAATAAAAAAAAATGTAAGCTAACACATTCATAACGTCCAGATTAAAGACCAAGGAAGCGAAAATTTGACGATTTGGGACAAATTTAAGATTTCAAAAAATCTACTTATTTCTTTTTTATTTTCATTGTATACGTAATTGGAAAATTATTTTAAAAAGAATTATAAAAATAGAATCTGTTTTCACTCATTTCCAGATAACAGCGGCTGTCCGCTCAGTAACATGGAGAAATACCTCCGTTTTCGAAAGCTTCGTATGAATAACACGTTTGTCGAGGACTGACATATGACACATCGCTAGAAAGCTTGTTTTTTCACCTTCACGCTCGTAACATTGCCTTTCTCTTTTTCGTAGCTATAACATAAGATTTCATTGGATAAAACGGTTTCTAATAACGCTTTTTTGCCGAAATCTGCTACAAGGTTCATGATTGGTCAAATTTGAGCACGTGACCTGAGACAGGCAATCAAATTACAAATCCTCGTGTACGATGACTTTCATATTTTTACGAAATATTTTGGTTAAATCGTGTTATTCTGAACGTTTAGAGCAGGAAATCGCGATCTATAATAAAAAAAAGGAGTTTCGTGGATGTTTCATGCTAGGTAACAAGCTGTGACAAAGATTTTTCATGCATATATTTTGGCATTGAACATAGTGTCCGAGCCGAGAATTCGATGCGACGAAAGCCGAGATGTCATTTGACTAACATCACACGCGATCGCATGAAAAGATGGAAATAAGTTAGCTGTAAGTTTGACCACTTTTAGATATTTTTTTGTTGATTTTATTTATCACTTTGTATATAAATTTAAAGATTTGCTTGAAACGTCTTTGTTTTGCTCTTTGACATGTTCGATGTGCATCCGAGAATTATATTTTCAATAACATTGCGGGAAATAGTGAATAACTTTTTAATCTATCGATAAAAAAAATGATTCATTTGATAAATTGAAATAGAATACGTATTTCAGACATTGTGAGATGTGATAGATTTAATAAATGAATGGTATGACAGGTAGGTCCATAAAAATATATACTATTTTGACGTGGCTAATGCTTCTTGGCCGGTTTACCGGCCTGCGGTGTTGAAAGAGTTAAAACAAATTTAAAACGTATCTGTGATAAAAGTTTATTTACAAAAAAAGACGTACGTATATACGTCTTTGAAAAAACGTATCGTGAAAAATCGAGATACAGCACCTCACAAATCGCACACCGTATCGTATGGAGTGAATCGCGATGCATCGGTGTCCCGGGATATCGTTTCAGCCCTAATATATGCTGGTGCAATCGGACCGGACTTCATCCTCATGGACGATAACGCACGACCTCATCGTACCAGGGTCGTTGATGTCTATTCAGAGCAGAAACCATTGTCCTCATGGAGTGGCCAGCCAGGTCACCAGACCTCAGTTCTGTCGAACACACGTGGAACGAGCTGCAGATCGCCTGCTCACGACGCCCTGTCCTTCCGGCATCTCTACGGGAACTCGGAAATGCTCTAACTGAAGAGTGGACAATCTTCCCCTGGCAACCACCCAGACACTTCATGGGAGCATAGACGGTGTCAGGATGTGATCGCACAACGTGGATCACATACGCGCTACTGAGAGTTGGGTTTTTTGGACAATACAATTGCTTTGTTTCGTGATTTTTTTACGTTACAGTTTTGGTAAGGTACTCCCATTTTGACGGGTGATCTGACTGATTACTGCTTTTAGTCACATGTTGTTTGTTGGCATTGTGTGGCAAATGACAACAGACATTTGTTCATTAAACATGTCTTCACGCAATGTTGTCTTCATCTTCCCGAGGCAAGTGAGTTAACTGACTATAAAAGTCCAGTTTCCACCCTTGCCGAACTAGGCTGGTATTATGGAGTTACATTTTGGCTGGGCTAACGAGTCTATGCATAGTCCAATCAAAATCGCGCACCGAAATCGAACCGCTTCGTAAAGTGTCATGCAGATTTCGGTCGACTGCAGGATTTGCAAAGCATGTGCACCGCTAACTCGTTGTCAACAGATATTTTCTATATCTTTTAAATTAAGGTGCTCACGTGATTTGATGCACTTCGCGATGTAAGACTCGTTTTATCACAATATAGATCTTGATTATCGATCAGATCGTCTTGACTGGGCGCCACCGTTTTGTTTGAAGCAAATGCAAGTGATACGAGAGGTTGAATCTGATTGGTCAATAGGAGAGGCATAGAAAAGACATTACTCGTAAAAGCCACTGGTGGCGCTACGGTCGAGCCCAGGAATTCCAGCCTAGTTCGGCAAGGGTGGAAACTGGACTTTTAAAGTCAGTTAACTCTCTTGCCTCGGGAAGATGTGTTGTCTTCGGCTTTTTCAACAAATGCACACAATTTGACGTATTATCTTTTAAAGTTGCAAACTTTGAGTAGTATATTTAGGGGTTATATCTGACTGCAAAACTGTTATTTCTAAAAATGACTAGCTCGGACTACAAGTCTGTCGGTGAGACCACTTTACATTCGTCACCGCCAATAACAAGGGACGGGAATCCCCGGTTACACACGTCTTTGGCACAGCGTTTAGTTTGCTTGTTTGTTGTTTAACGCCGCAATCAGCAATATTCCAGCTAAATGACGGCGGCCTGCAAATAATCGAGTCTGGACCAGACACTCCAGTGATTGACATCATGAGCATCGATCCACACAATTGGGATACGATGACATGCATCAACCAAGTCAGCGAGCCTGACCACCCGATCCCGTCAGTCACCTCTTACGACAAGCATAGTCGCCTTTTACGGCAGGTATGGGTTGCTGAAGACCTATTCTACCCAGGATCTTCACGAGCCTTATGGCACAGCGATATTACGCACTCTCCAATACGCGTAACGAATGTTTCACGAGCTGTAATGAACGTATTCTCAAGCCGCATGGTTCCCATGTGCATATGTGTTGTGTCAT